CAACCGGAAGGCACGTGGTAGTCTAGCCACTCCTACCAAGCGCGCTGCCCACAATGGTTGGCCTACAACCAAGGGCAGCGCTTTGCTGCTCTTACACCCCCAGAGTTGCCTCCCCACCGCCCCCCACCCCAATACTGAACCGCAACTTGGCGGCTAGGCACTCTGTAGCCTCTCCACAATATAAAACATTCTACAAACCTCTCCCGCCTTTATCGCCACCCACCCCACATAGGCTCTAAAACTAGGTGCTAAGAAAATTCTAGATTTTCTGGGTCTCATATTTTCAAGACTCCGCCACCCCCTGCAGTCTCCTTTCAAAGATGGCTCAGGTAGGCTCTCTCAGGTCTCTTGAAAGCAAATAAAAGGGATTATGGGAGTGTAAGAGACCGGTTGGCAAAGTTCTCATTCTGTTTGGAATCATTTGTGAACTTAAGTGTTCTATTTAGAATACTGGTCTTTTCCCCTGTTAGCTTTTGAGTAAGTAGGCTACTTACCAACCTGTAGTCCCACCAAGCTTTGAATGATTCTGGATTGATCACCACTTACAATTCCTTTGATAGGTGAGGAGCGTGTCTTATGCCCCTATTTTATCAGGAAGAAATCCTCTTATAGACCACCGTTACCAAGTCCTTTATCCAATGGCAAGATACCACTGCCTGGAAAGCTGTACCGAAGAATTGAGCTTCCATTCTGTGTTACAACTTTCACAAATTTCACTGCCTCTTCTTCCAGATAACCCCATAAAACTATTTAAAAGTTAGAAACTACACAGGCAAGCATTGCCATATGGAAATTTTAGAAGCACGAACCGTAAAGAGATGAGAATTTTATTATTTCCCCTCTTATTTTTTTGTATTCCTCCCACCTTCCCATAAGTAATAGTAATAAACCTCTCCTCCCGTGCAGTTTGTAAAACAGAGCTTAGAATTGATACTCCTAGTCCCTGAAAGTATTGGTGGATAAGCTAGGTGCAGCTCTCATTTTCTGTTTTTTTCTTTTTCTTTTTTTTTAGATTTACTTACTTATGCATACAAGACCTTGGGTGTAGGCCAGAAGTGTGGGGGCGGGGGGGTTGAGAGGATTCAACAGAGGCAGAGTGGGGAGCAGAACAGGCAGATCTACTGAAATACACTGCTGAAGCGGGCAGCTGGACAGACAGGAGATGTGGGTCATCTTCCTGGCTGGGGATCAAACTCATGCTGCAGTGGCTGCTGGAAGTTTCATACTGCACCACCAGGGAGGCCCACTTTCATTTCCTGGTTTTGAGGACACTCCTTCAGAGGCTCTGCCTTCCTATCTCCTTTTGGAAATACTGAACAATAAGACTATATAGACAAAACAAACAAACAAACAAACAGCTCAGGCAGACTAAGTAATTTTCTTGGTAGAGTTACCTATACACTTTGATTTCCCTCCTCCTCTCCACCCCAGGTTCTGAACCTCAGTAAAATCTATCAGTAGAGGCCTCCCTGGTGGTGCAGGGGTTAAAGTAGCAGCACTATCAAGCTATCACTACCACAAGGTTGATCCCTGGCCAGGGAGCTAACCCACATGGTGCAGCAGACCTCTCCGGTCTCGCCCACTGCTCCCCTCAGCAGTGTATTTCAGTAGATCCACCTGTTCTGCCTCCACCCCCACCCCCCGGTAATCCTCTCACTTCCCACACCTCTGGCCTACACTCCAGTTCGTGTATGCATAAATAAGTAAAAATAAATCTTAAAAAAAAAATCTATCAGTAAACTCTATCAAGATGGCCTAAGAATTTTCCCAGCTCTTTAGAGAAGTCTGATCAGAGAATGTGGAAGCAGAAATGAGGCTTTTTTCTTCAGGTGCTGATCAGTAGGGGGCACTATGGCATCTGCCTTTTGCCTAGCAAAGGCCAGAAGATCTCATCTTAAACAAACCAAAGGGGTGTTGAGAGCACCACTGCATTCCTGAGGCTAGTAGAGTTGAACAGATAATCTTCCCTTGATCCAGAGAAATAGGTGGATTGACTCCTGGTAGTCTCTAAAAGCATGGTGGATGGGCACCAAGGGGTGCTATATTCCTGGTGACCAAAAAATACAACATATCAACAGGTGTATGTATATGTCTATTCCTGCCTCCTTTCCCATCCCTCCCACCTCCTGTCATTTAAAAAAAGGGGTGTTATGGGCCTCCCTGGTGGCGCAAGTGGTTAAGACGCAACCTATGAAGCTGGCTGCAGCCTCTGCAGCACGATTTCCATCCCCAGCCAGCCAGGGAGCAACCCACATGGCGCAGCAGACCTCTCCTGTTTTGCCTGCTGCTTCCCTCAGCAGTGTACTGCAGTCAGTCTGCCTGTTCTGTTCCCCACTCTGTCTCTGGTGAATCCTCTCACCACCCCCAACACCTCTGACCTGTAGCCCAGCTCTTGTATGCATAAATAAATCTTTAAAAAAAAAAGGGGGGGGTGTTATGATGATGTCCTAACCACTGCAGTCCTCTTACCCTTGTTTTTCCCTAAACAGCTTCTGATTTCATCTCTAATTGAAAGGACCTTCAACATGGTTTTATAGCAGTATGAATGCCCTTGCTGTCACTGAACTATATACTTAAAAGTGATTAAAAAGGCAAAATTTATGTTATGTATATTTTGCCACAATTGAAAAAAGGGGAGGGGGAAGCTTAGAGAAACACAAGGCAGGAAAAAAAAGTTTGGACTGATCTTGCCACACCCTTGTCCTTTCTTTGTTTAAGCCTTCCTAGCAAATCCTATGCTTTCCAGAAAGCCATCTCAGATAACCTGAACTCCCTGTGTAAACACACAGTTACTGACTACCTCCTTCCTCTCTTCCCCTCAAATCTACATAAAAGCAATATGCTCCCTTTTACTTGCTTATGAATCCCAAGGGCAGAAGGATAGTCATGAGCTTCCTTTGTATTGGAACGGAGCACCCTCCCCCTCAAAGATGTAATATGGCTGATGACCCTGACCCTTGCTCTCTGCTTTAAACCTTGTTGCTGCCTCCTTCCCTATTCTGGGCATTCCCCCCAATTCCAATAAATGCCTCACTTTCCTTTTTTGACCATTTGAGATAGGGAGCCAGCAATCATTTTCTGTAAAGTGCCACATAATAAGTACTTCTGGCTTTTCCGGCCATTAGGGTGGTAGAGAGAGCAAGTAGACAATATGTAAATGAATGGGCATGGCAATGTTCCAGTAAAGCTTTGTACAAAACCAGGCTGTGGCAGGATTTACCCCATAGGTGGTAGTTTGCTGATTTGAGAAAAGAAACCTGTCTTCCTGCTTCCATATTAACCCGTGCTAGCAGGCTTCCTGCCCATAGCTTGTTTTCCTACATGTTTCTGTGGGTACTTATTTACTGCCTTGATCAGAAACTTACAAGGCGATGATAAGTTGAGTTAGTTTATCTTACCTACACTTTACATATTTAAATTGGTTTTGCTGGATTCATATATAAATGACTATGTCTAGGTTGGGGATGGTGTGTGTGTGTGTGTGTGTGTGTGTGTGTGTGTGTGTGTGTGTGTGTGTGATTATAGCACACAGAATTCATCCCCAGGAAATCCCTTTGTCTTTCTGATGATATTGGTATATTGCCTTAGAGCCTCAATGTCACCCTCTGCCTCCTGAGATCTCAGGTTAGACTTGTTTGTTCTTTTGTTGCTCCTGGAAACGCTTCCTCTAGCCCACACACTAGCTGTTTCAGCCTAGGGACGTTTTCCCAGAGAGTTATTAAGCTGACCTTGTGCCAGTTTGTGAAAACTTCTACCCCCTTGCATGTTTGTAGGAACCATAGAGATTTATCTATCTATACTGGGAGACTAGGTTAGGCAACTCCAGCAGATCATCAAGCACTTTTCCAAAGCCCCGTGGGGGACAGAGGGAGGTCATCTGTGGGTTTTGATTTGTTTTTGCAGTTTTCCAGGAAGAGAGAATGAATAATTTACAGTGGCCTAAACTTTTGGAAACTATGAATATACATAATGTTTATGAGCCTTGAACCTCTAGCTTGATGATGTATTCAACAGTTCTCATCTCTTCCTGGGGCCACTGAAAGTGACAGGAAGCCAAAGAGGAGAGAGGAAAGACCAAACGTGAGGATCCAAAAACATTTGTGAATGGTCCACCCTGCTCTCTAGCTATTTTGCAAAACGAAATGTGATTTAAAAAAACACATGTTCATATTTTCCTGCTAACTCAGTACTGAGAATTGACTGCATTTTCATCAATACTGGGACATTCTTTTATTACTGTAGGAGTTCTATGGTACTTTTTCTTCCAGAAGCCTTTCCTTTGTCTTTCATTAATCTTTGCAGTAAACTTCAAGGTTGAAGATGAAGGCAAGTAGTTGTTTACAGAATAACATGAAATGGAAAAGAGAATTTATTTAATTCTTGTATGAGAAAATTCAGGCCCTGAATTTTCTGAGTAATTTAATCAAGGTCACAGAGTAAGGTCCAGTGGTAATAACTTTACCTCCTAAGAGTCCTTCTTATTTCTGTTACATTACATCACTCTAAGGTCCTCTTTGCTACCCTATGAGCAGTGCTTCCTGTGGCATCTCCCTGGCATAAGGGCTGTACCCACATTGGCCGAAATAGATAATCCCACACAGGACAGGATCAATGTGATGTGTTTTGTTCCATTGTGAAATCTGAGTGGCTTTGCAGAGCAGATGAGAGATGAGAGATTCCCTACTAATACACATATTTGCATGTCAAACTAGGAATGTGGCATGGGGGAGGAGGTGGGATAAGTGATAGCAGACTGGACTAGGAGTCCCTTCCCTTTGTCTAGCTCCTGGGAAAGATAATTAAGTTCCTATGCTGCGAGTGGGATAAAAATGAGACTTCTACATACTTTAGGAAAGAATATGTATGCAATTATCCATGTACGTTGGTCTGTGAACCCACAAGCATACATAAGTCCAAATGCATTTAAAATTTAATTATATTAACATGAAGATTTATATGTTTCAATTAAGCCCACTCCATACCCCATTTCTAGTACTCACATCAGCTGCCTTCTTCTCAGCCAGTTCCAGCTTCTCCTGGGCATCCTTCAAAGCTTCAGAATACTTGTCCAGTTCATCCTCCGTCCCTTTCAGTTTCTTCTGCATGGCTGCCAGCTCATCCTCCAGCTACAGGAGCCGCAAGAGTCATATACATGGCATACATACACAACAGTGCAGACTCAGACCCTGGCCCTGGGCTCTTGAGCTCTGACAGACCCCTGAGCCCAGCCTCTGTGTTACCAACTCTCACTGAGACACACTTCAGCAACTGCCCCAGGAGTTGTGCTATGGCCTTGGCTTGTAATCCTGTGATCTCTGACCAGATCATGACCAAGTCATTTTAGGTTTTCTTCCAAGATGCTGTGATGGTAAATATTTTAAGATTTAGATGCCCGTGACTCCACTTATGGGAAAAGAGATGTTCCACGCTAACCTCCCACCTTTTCCTTTGGGAATCAGGGGATTCTTCCAAAATATCATCTACTCCTACTTAAATCCAACAGACACACTGTGGTTCAGAGGGAGCCGCTGACTTTCCCAAGTTTGACCAGATATCCTAGACAATCCAGTGAAGCTGGGAAAGAAGAGGAGTCCCTCCTACTCAAAAGAACAGGCTGGCACCAGGGGTTACTGCCTTTCCCATGAAAACTCTCTGCCATCTCTTGTTCACCAGCAAGTGAGGGAGATCAATGCCAGTCCTTACCTGTTTACTTCTTTCTTCTGCCTGCTTCTGCTCAGCTTCTGCTTGCTCTGCCCGATCCAGAGCATTCTCCTTGTCCAACTTCAGCATCTGCATCTTTTTCTTAATGGCCTCCATCATCAGCAGTGGCTGTTGGTGAACTCACCTGTGAGCAATGGAGAATTGGAGACTAGGGCACAAAAAAGAGGGGCTGACTGGGTGGCCAGGGGTTCTCCAGACTTGACCCTTTATTGCTGATCGTGGCTCCACCTCTTGTTCCTAATATGGTCTTTCCAGCTCCTTCCACCCCATCGTTGTTCTCCTGGGTATCACAGGATGAGACACTTTGATGGACTGACATCACTAGCAAAGAAAAGTTTGGGAACAGCTGAGGCTGATTTTAGACAATGGAAAGTGGAGGATGGGACTTGCTCTCTCTGACCCTGAAACTTTCCACTTGCTCTGGGCAGCTCTCTATGGGTGTTTTAAAAGAGGGGAGGGGGGCAAACTGTAACAGAGAAGGCTACTTTGGCATTTCTAGAATAGTCGCTTTCACCCAGAGGATCCTAGTTGCCCTTAAACTTCTTCCTTACTCCCACCCAGACTGTGTTGGATTCTGATCAACTCCACTGGTTGAGTTTTACTTTTAGATTCCTAACCTGAGCAACAGTGAAGAGGGGAGGTCACTCATGATCCCCGACAATTCCCCCAATCCCCAGATCAAATTACTGTGCTATTTTGAGAGTCTTTAATTGGCAGGGAGATATCATTCCCTCACCCCTCAAGAGCCCACAAGGATGCACTCAGAGATTAAGGTTGGGATTTGGAAAGCCATCCCATAGTTTCAAGTAGGATGGGGGATTAAAGCAGGGGAATGTTGAAATAATCCACATGGGATCGTGCCCTCTCTTTCCCCAGCATGATCTTTAAATAAATTTTTTTTTTTTAAACTAAGGCTATTTTTTTTTTTTATAGAGGCATGTTTTTTATTTATTTATTTATTTATTTATTTATTTGTTCGTTTTGTTTTGTTTATACATGCACTGGGTACAGTCAGAAGCACGGGAGGGTGAGAGAATTCACCAGAGCCAGAGCGGGGAGCAGAGCAGGCAGAAGGACCGAAGTACACTGCTGAGGGGAGCAGCGGGCGGCAGGAGGGGTCTGCGCGCCATGTGGGACCCTCCTCCAGTGGCCGGGGAGCAGCCGGCAGAGGCCGCGGGCAGCTTCGCAACCCAGCGCTCAACCGCTGCGCCACCGGGGAGGCCCCTAAATAAAATTTTTATACCCACACAGACTAAGGTCTGTGCTGCTCTTTGCTCTTCTCCTCACCCTCTGTTCCCTTCTTACCCCTGACCTGCACCCCATGTTCTCTTCACACACTCATCATCATCATCATCATCACTGGCTCTATTCTCCCTGACTTGTTCCAGGCTGTGTTCATTCTTCTATTTGGAACTTTGTTACTGACAGGTGGCAACTGATCCCAGTACACTGGCACCACATGATCTGAAAATATGCCAGAGGAGAGATAGGCACTGTTCAAGGTGACCAGAGATATCAAAGAATAATATAAATGGTTCTAGTTAGGCATTATGTCAAGGATAGATGGGTAGTGTTAATGGAATGCCAAGACACCAGCCAGGGTGGAGGGCAAAAGTGGAGTCTACTTTTGAGACTGTCCAATCAGTCAGAGCAGACAGACCATCAGCTGATTCCTGAAGGAAAGTAGAGAAAACAAAGATTCCCTACTGTGGGACTAGGGAACAAGAGAATCCCAGGAATAGGAAACAGTTGATAATGGAGTGGGGGGAAGGAGGAGGAGGGGGGAGGTGAGTGGGGGTGAATTGAATAAAGAGGAGAAAATATAAGGACAGAGGCCAGAGATAGACCCCTTCTAGTATGAGGAGAAGATATAGGAAGATTTGATATTCAAATTTCAGCTCTCTGGCTAGCCCTCCAATTTAAGACGGAATTCCATGAGGTTGCTGTCACTGTTCTTCCCCTGGGGTCCTGATGAGAAGAGGTTCATTGAAAAAGACAGGAACCGCAGAGGTCGAGGAAGGAGATTGTGATGCCAAATTGCTTGCTGCCATGAGAATATGTTTGACATTTAGTTGGTTCCTAATTAAACAACCCAATATCAAACATATCACACAGAAGCAAGCAGGAGAGCTTGGTGGTGGAGCCTTCCTCCTCACTGCAAAGAAAGGATAGGATAGAGACACCAAGCATAGAGCATGGCTAGATGGAGGGTCGCCTCCCTGGAGAAGGGCACTGATCCCTGTTCTTCACCTTCTCTAGGCAGCTGGCTCTCGCTCATCTGCCCTTCGTGCCGTCTCCTTAGAGGGCAACTTTCCTACCAGTGCCTGGCCTTTGCCGGATCACGTTGACCTAAATCAGGAAGAATATCTGGTAGGATTCCATATCCGGGCACCTTCACAAAGCTCCCACCCCAAGCTTGTGCCCCTGATGTCACGGCCACAGCATCTAGGGGATCAGCAGTGTCAGCGGCTCCTCTGTAGCTCTGCCACCTGTTTTCCAATGCCCTTCCACGGGGCCCCAAGGGTTTCTGGGTGTGGGGCTGGGGGGCTTGTACGTGCTGCTTTACCTTTCCAGCAGAACTCCTGACATTTCCAGATCACCCTACAGGACTGGTGAGGGCCTTTCAGTGGACACCATTCTGGACCCGTGCTGCTTGTAGTACTACAGATAAGTAGCCATGAGAAATTTCCAAAATCTTGGCCCCTTCTTCCCACCACCCACTATCTTCTCACGAACCTGAGTCCTCCAGGCATTCTTCTTAAAGTCACCCTTGGAGCTCCAGAAGAGAAGAGCAACATGTCTCACTGGCAGGCTCCAGCCTGGCCTCTAGAGAAGTCTTATGATCTCCCCTGACTGGAGACCTTAGGAGAGAGATCAAGGGTGAAGGAAGAAACGCCCTCTGCCAGGAAGCAGCCTGCAGTCCTTAGGACTCTCCTCTTCTAGGCTAGCTTCTCTCAGGTTCTTCCCTCACAGGGATCCGGCTTGGTTCTTTTCTGGGGGAGTTTTGTTCTGAAGGGAATCAGGTCTGTTGAATGTCATGAGGCAGGCAGATGCTTCACTACTGTGACAGAGAGGATCCCAGGTTATAGCTGCACTGGAGGGTGGGGGGCTTGGGGGGAAGTGTGGAGGAGGGAGGAGAAAGCTTAGTTTCAGCCCCTAGGCCTGTTCCATTTGTCTTTGTTCCCATTAGTCTGGACTTCTCTTCCCCTCCCCCAAAACATATACCATGGGTGCCCTTGATTTCGATCGATAGCTTGTCCCAAGTTCCAATCAATTCCTTTGTGTGGCTCTTGCCTTCCAGGGGAAGATTAACAAATGGGCACAGGAGCCCCAAGGTAGTCATCCGTGCTGTGTCTCATGTCCTCGTTCCTTTGTGATTCTCAGTGGGGGTTTGTGTGTGATTTTCACTTTCATGACCTTCCATCTTACCCTTACCCCCAAGTTCTAGTTCCCTTCTTTGGGAACCTTTACTACACTGCACAACCAGAGGCTGGAATTGAAAGAATTTTGGTGCTTGGGGCTTTAGGCAGAGGGGAATATATACTTTTTTAAAGATTTATTTTATTTATACAAGAGCCGGGGTACAGGTCAGATGCGTGGGAGGGTGAGAGGATTCACCAGAGACAGAGTGGGGAACAGAACAGGCAGACTGACTGAAATACACTGCTGAGAGAAGCAGCGGGTGAGACAGGAGAGGTCTGCTTGCCATGTGGGTTGCTCTGAGGCCGATCGGGATTGAACCCGCACTGAAGAGACTGCAGACAGATTCACAGCGCTGCTCTCAACCGCCTGTGCCACCAGGGAGGCCCCAGAGGGGAATATTGATGTAGGGGAGGAGCAGCTATGTTAAGAGGAGGCTTTGACTAGATGGCATAACTAAATAGAAAGAAGCATCCAATGGCCTCTGATTAAAGTTTTTAACCTTCTTGGAAGCACCTTGTATGCACTCATTTCAAACAAGACTGAGCCTTTCCGAACCAGAGGAGCTGGGAGACACCAGCCACAGACAGAAAAGGGCTAGATGGATAGGATGGCATGAACTACTCAGTTGATGTAATGAGAGCTGACAGAGTAGGCAGAGAGATTCAGAGGAGAGAGCTCTGTAGGGGACCAACCTGCCAATACTCGAGCCAGCCTGGCAATGATAAGCCCTGAGGAGAAAGGCCAAGGTCAGGGATCAAGGCAGAGGGGTTGGGGTGCTCTGTGGGACCAAACGAACAGAGGAGAGTAGAAAAAAAGAGGTTGGTGAGGAAGTATGGTTGGGGGTGGGGGACAGTCAAATAATAAAGAGTAAATAAAAAAATCTGTATCATAAGACAGGCCTTCATCATTACGGGTTACCATTTATATGCTATTATATGCCACCTCAATCCTCAGTGCTGTATTTAACCCCACAGCAATCCAATGAGGTAGGTTTTATCTCCAGTTTATGTCTAAGGGACTAGAAATTTAAAGTAACTTGCGCAAGGCCACACAATCAGTAAGTGACAGAGCCAGTATTCAAAACCAGATCTGCCATGTAAAAAAAAAAAGCCTATTCTAACACCAGACTCTCCTGCCCCTACATAAGCAGCAGAGGGGATGTAGTGCCAGGACGGACATAGTGCAGGTTTTCCATGATTCCAAGCAGGCCAGGTAAAGTTTCTAGAGCCCTCGGTGGCTTTCTCAGGCTTTTATTGAGCTTTTACATGTAGTGCAGCAACCAGGTACATGGCAGGTAGGGGTGCCCGGGGGCCAGGAGGCCTTTAGGCCTCCAAGCCCCAGGCAAGTCTTCACTCTGGGCTTCTCTGGTATTCTTTCTCCCCTTCTCCCTCCTGCCTCTCTTTCCCCTGTTTCTCCTGGGGAGTATCTCTATACCCAGCCATGGCCCACAGAAGTAAATAACATAATTATAACAATGTAACAATGCAGGTGCAGCATCAGGCAGGGCAATCTTAATGGCTGAGGGCAGAAAAGCCTGAAAAGCACTTACTCTACAGGGGCCTGGGCAACCAATAGGAGGGAAGATGATGAAGTGAAAGTGAGATGGGAAACAGAGGGCAGGGGATAGGCAAGAGGATGGTGAGGGTCAGCCTCAGATTTGTGGATCAAATCGGGCGGTGTATGTGGGACTCTGTCTCCTATAAAATTCTCCATCTTCCCTGTCATCATTTGTTCAGTATTGGCCTCCCCACCAGCTTATAAACTTCATGTCTTATTTGGTGTAAAAACTCATGAACGCTTATTGACTGGAGATTAGCGGGCTTGGGGAGCAGGAATGATGGGAACTAGATGGCTGGATATAGGGTGCAGATGAACGGATATAGGAGAGAGAATGACATTTGAGCTGCATAAGGGGACTGATGAAGGGGACAAATAAGGGACCTGTGAAAGTTCTGGGTCACAGGGAACCGTCCTGAGAAAGAAAAGGGGGGGATACCCAACTGTGTGTGAAATACTAAGCTTGTTCTCTACATACGTTATCCTATTTTATCCTTCATGATCCTATGAGATGGATACTATTTTCCCCTAGAAGAGGAAATTGAGGCCTAGAAAAGTGACTTACACACTAATTAAGAAGTGAAGGGCCTCGCTGGTGGCGCAAGGAGTTAAGCACAGCACTGTGAAGCTATCCGCAACCTCTGCAGCAGGAGTTCGATCCCCAGCCAGGGAGGTTCCTGCATGGTGCAGACCTCTCTTGTCTTGCCTGCTACTCCCCTTAGCAGTGTATTTCAGTCAGTTTGTCTGTTCTGTTCCCCACTCTGTCTCTGGTGAATCCTCTCACCCCTCAGCACCTCTGGCCTGTATACCAGCTCTTATATGCATAAATAAATAAATCTTAAAAAAAAAAAAAAAGAAGTGACGATCGGCTTTGAACCCATGCCGGAGTCCAGAACCTGTGCTCTTCTTTTTATATTCTTTGCCTCTCCATAGTCCTCACCAGGGGTATATATGTAGGGAGAGCAGGAAGAAGCAGGTGTGACTGCTGAGATGAAAAATGTATATTGAAGGCTGGATGGCGACAGACTTGGGATGGGGGAAGAAAGGGTATGAATTTTGCAGTGGAGATACAGCCACATGGAACTGAGGGCAGGAAAAGATCAGTGAGGTTGCAGATGGTAAGGTGAGAGAACAGGAAAAAGAATGTATAATGGTGATTACATCAGAGGGTGATGTTGTGTTCTTGCAACTGTTACTGGCTGCAAAATGGATGTCTCTCTTGCTTGGGAAGTCATGTGCAGGTAAAGTGGATCTTACAAGATTTTCTGCATATCAGAAATGCCTATCAGTATTTTTCAGATTTTTGAATGCCTTTAGGTTGAACAAAAGTTGGAATTTTTTCAATCCCCCATAAATTCCACCTGCTCTAAAATCAACTTGATGTTTGAGTTTGGAACATTCATTTTGCAGAGGAGGGAATTTAGCCTCTAGAGGAAAGAGACTTGTCCATGGTTTCACAGTAACTGGCACTTTCAAAATGTAAAATCCACGCCTCCTGATACTCAAACACCACAGTGCCTCTGCATTAATAGTCACATTCAGAGCTACTTGTGCAAGTATACGGAAAAGATCAGTGGAAGTGAGTTCTGAGAGGTGGTGAGCAACATCCAGTTATGTTAAGATTATGATATCTTAAACTACGTTAAGATTATGGCAGCTGCGAAAAAGAACTTTCCAAACAAATCAAGATTTGGGGCTGAAAGGATGAGCCCGTGGTATAAGTTTGAACTTTTATGAGCTAGTTTTATTCATTTGTTAAACCAAACCAGGGTTCTCTACTCTCACATTAATCACCTCTCCACCACACCCCCTGCTCCCCCAATACATCCACGGTGTATCTCATTCTGACCACAAGGCGTCACTCTTGCTTTTACTATTGTTGCATAGATTGTTTCCCAAAAGCACCAGGAGCAGATATAAAAAAGCGGCAAGTGGGAGCATGTTCTTTAGTGCTGGGCAGAAACCTAGGTTTAGGTGTCTTTGGGGGAAGGAAGTTCGAAGTGGTAGAGGTTCAAGAAGACTAGTTTAGCAGGCATGGTGAGAATGGAAGGACAGTATTCCAGAGGCCATCAGAGTCTCTCCACATAAAAAGCTTTGCCCATCTGATGCAATTCTTTCTGGTACTGCCGATTCTCCTTTTCAAACAGCTGGTGCAGGGCAGCCTGACGAACCTGGTGGGGAGGGCAGTATACAGTATGATGTTTGCCCACTGTTTGGTCCTTACCATCCACACCCCCTAACTCTCCCTGGATGCTTTCCCATCACTCTTTCTCTTGGACCTGGATTTAGCTGAACCATGGCTAATAGTTTAGAAGCTGAACTATTGGATAGGACGCCTACATGGCTTTTCCCCATGATGTTCAGTAAATGAAAATTTGCTGAAAACATACCATAGACTAGGAACTCTACTAGACACTTGGGATACAATGGTGGTGATGTGACAGCAATTGGGGATGCCAGGGAGAGAGAGAAGTTCTGAGAGGCAGTGCACTAAGAGGCAGTTTTGAGTTTTACCAAGAGGTGCACTAAGAGGCAGTTTTGAGTTTTACCAAGAGGTGCAAGAACTAGAACACATTTTACAATGTTGAAATATGCCATGTGCTTCTGGATGCAAAGAATCACTTAATGAAAAACAGCATCAGCATTTGGAGTTAAAGAACTCTTGCTCTGGGGCCTCCCTAGTGGTGTAAGGGTTAAGTCTTAGTGCTACCATGCTGTATGGCTGGAGTTCCATCCTGGGACCAGGAAGCTAACCCACATGGCACAGAAGACCTCTCCTGTCTCGCCCACTGTTCCCTTCAGCAGTGTATTTCAGTAGATCTGCCTGTTCTGCTCCCCACTCTGTCTCTGGTGAAACCTCTCACACCTCTGGCCTACACCCCAGTTCTTCTATGCATAAATAAATCTTAAAAAAAAAAAGGAGCTGTTGCTTTGGTGTGATGGTAAAAACCTCAGAGGCATGTGAGATAGGTGAGTAATGGCAGAGACTAAGAGCCTGGGAATGCCAGGGGCTCGGGCACAGGCATGGTGGAGACATCAGATTGCCCTTGCTAGAACTCACCAGCAGGAGTTGTTTGTTGGCCAGTGCCACCTCTTGTTTCATGGTATGCTGCATCCTTAGGATGGCATATAGGTTTCTCCTCTGGTTTAACATCATCTGCCACAGACACCGAGTATGTAAAATTTGCCACCTGCCCCAGGTATAGAGATAAGGGTTGAATGGGTTGGTTAGGAGAAGAGACAAAACCCCATCAGTGATGCTGTTTCATCACTAAAACCTTTATGACAGTGTCAGACTACAAAGTCTTTGAAGGGTAACAAATTAATTTAGAACCTAGTATCTATTAAATATGTCATTTAATCATCATAAAACCATGTGTCATAAATGCTAATTTTTACATCATACAGACAAAGAAATGGGAAGTTTAGGTGAGTTGCCCCAGGTCACTCTTGGTGGCAGACTTAGGTATCAAACCTAGTCTAAGGATGAATCCCTTCCATAGTATCAGTGATTCTTAATCCTGGCTAAACACATTCCAGAATCATTCACTACATTTTGATACATGAAATGATATGTGTGTGTATATATCTATACATGCATATGAGTACATCAGTATCCTGTGCTCAGATAACCTGTGTTGACCTTTCATGGAAAACAAATTTTTTACATGACTAGAAAATTATATCCATATAGAAATGTATTGAGTTAAAAGTGAAAGCTTCAAGGGCCTCCCTGGTGGCGCAGGGGTTAAAGTCTCAGTGCCATCAAGCTATCACCAGCCACTGCAGCATGAGTTCAATCCCCGCCCAGGGAGTTAACCCACATATGGCACAGCAGACCTCTCCTGTTTCCGCCCACTTCTGCTCTCAGCAGCGTGTTTCAGTAAATCCACCTGCTCTGCTCCCCACTCTGTCTTGGGGAATCCTTTCAATCCCCGCACCTCTGGCCTCCACCCCAGTTCATGTTTGCATAAATAAAAATAAATCTTAAAAAAAGTGAAAGCTGGGCCTCCCAGGTGGCACACAGGTTTAAGCACAGCACTATGAGGCGATCCACAGCCTCTGCAGCATGGGTTCGATTCCTGGCCGGCTGGGAAGCAGCCCACATGGCAAGCAGACCTCTCCTGTCTCACCCGCTGCTTCTCTCAGCAGTGTGTTTCAGTCAGTCTGCCTGTTCTGTTCCCCATTCTGTCTCTGGTGAATCCTCTCACCCCCTGCACCTCTGACCTGTACCCCAGCTCTTATATGCATAAACAAATCTTTAAAAAGATAAATAAGAAAAAAAAATGAAAGCTTCATTCTTCTTTCTCCGTCACCACAGTTATAATTTTTGTGTCTTTCCAGGAAATTTTTCCTATCATATATCAGTAAGTATATACATATACATGTATATATACCTTTTTTTTTTTTAGATTTATTTATTTATTTATACAAGCACTGGGTACAGTCAGAAGTGCGGGAGGGTGAGAGAATTCACCGAGCCAGAGCGGGGAGCAGAGCAGGCAGAAGGACTGAAGTACACTGCTGAGGGGAGCAGCGGGCGGCAGGAGAGGTCTGCGCACCATGTGGGACCCTCCTCCGGTGGCCAGGGAGCAGCCGGGGATCGAACCAGCACTGCAGAGGCTGCGGGCAGCTTCGCAACCCAGCGCTCAACTGCTGCGCCACCGGGGAGGCCCCTACATGTATATATATTTTTAATATGAAACCATTCATTTACATCAGCAGTATCACCAACTTGGATGGTTCATATAAGCACAGAGAGATTTGCTTTGTTCTGTTTAAAGGTTACCTAGTATTTCTGTATCACCCATCATTTAACCAGCTGAGTTGTTTCTAGCTTTTGAAATTTTGTAAACAATACTATCATGAACATTCTCGTATATTCTAGTGCTTTTGAAGGTATATTATGTAAGGTAAATGCCTAGAGGTAGAGTAGCCTGTTCAAAGGATATGTAAATTTTAAATATTTATAGACCTCATCAAGTTGCCTTTGTAAAAATGCTGTATCCCAATATTGCTTGACTCCTACCAAAATTCTATGCATTCTTGTTATCTCATATCCTTGTTAGCTCTGGACAACCTGTGAAACTTTAAAATAAAGACATTACTTACCCAGTCCCAGAACACTCTAGTCAGAATCTTCTGGCTTAAAATCTGAGTATGTTTTAACAAGCTTCCCAGGTGAAGGAGATACAAAGTAAAATTGCTTGAGTCTTCTCATTCATTCAATAAATGTTTATTGTACACTTACCACATGATTAGTACAATGCTAGGCAACAAATGCTTGAATTCTAAAAAGGAAAGCGACAAAATACTAGCTCCAATTTCCTCTCAGAGAATAGGAGGCAAGAGCCAATGAAAACTACTGTATACGTAGCCTGACCTAGCACGCACTGGGCTGGTCTCTGTTTCTTGCCCCTTCTTCACATTTTCTTTCCTAATGAGCTCCTAACAAGACACAGCAGAGTTGAGAAGTGGCTCCAGGACAGAGGGTGAAAAGGCCATGGTGAAGGGTCAGGGATGCAGATAGGAGCAGAGATTACCTGTCAATCATCTTCTTAAGTCCCAGGGTCCTTTGTAATCCCTGCAAGAAAAGGGAGCTCTGTTGATCTCCCTTGATCTTCAATTCCTTATCCCAGTAGCCAGTGCTAGTGCAAGATACAGAGGTCTTTCTCTTTTGAGTAAGTAATTTCCTAGAGGCTGTGGGGAGAAAGCTCTACTCCTTTTAAGATTAATCAGAAACACGCAAGGGTTGGTATGGAACAAGTATTTGAATACCTATGTGCCAGACAGTCTCTCATTTCTGTTAATATCCTGTTACATCGAGGGCCTCTCTCAGGGAACAGTTTACTCTGGTAAATTGATCTGGAAACCTCATCATGGGAAATTCCTCCAACCCAGCTGCCTCCTTCCAAATCTGCATACCTCTTCATCTTTTGACATCTTTTCCACAGACATGTCTACAGACTTGCTTGATATGACTCTCAGAGATTGAGCAGGCTCTCCTTTCTGTTTAGTTCAGTCACTGAGGCTTTAGTAGTCATAGCAACATTTACGCTTCCAACAATGACCATAGGTCTAGGAGTTGATTGGTCACTTGGCCTGTTGCCCTGGAGACCGGAAGGGAATCCTGGCTCTCCAGTCTTCTATTCAGGACATAGGCAAGTCTATGAGCAAGGACCACACTCCCAATTTCAGACTGTCTTCTGTTAAGAGTCTCAAGAAGTATCTGTACGGTCCTAGGTTCAGAGTATCCACAATCCTACTAATTCTCTGGAGGAAAATTCTCATGATCTACCATGTTAGGCAAGTGCAAACACCATTTATCATGTTTTGTTTTTTTATTAAAAGGCAAATGTGAAAGGATGAGTCATAAGCTTTATTTCTTCATTGTTCATTTTATTAAATAATTTATAAAGTCAGACCAGTACATTGATTCGACCGTTCCTTCACACTGGCCCACAGCATCCTCAACAAACAAGGGGGTTGGGATTATGCCAGGTATACAAAATATTCCCTCTTCAATGTATTCATAACAGTAGGGGATTAAAAGTGGAAGGGCAGAAACTTGTAGATCAGAGAAATTGTGTTACTGTTTCAAAACAACCTGGTTTACTGGGGTCAGTTGTTCCACATTCCAACCAGGGCCTCACATACCTCCTCATCGCCCTACCAGTTTCTGTCCCAAACCCAAATTCCCATTCAACTGGATACAAAGCAGTATGTACAGAAGACACCAAGCCCCCTTATCCCAACTCTCACCTTTGGGATTACTTATATTGACAGATCAGAAAAGGGCAGTTGAATTATGATCAAAATCAAGTGAAATCATTAAATAAAAGAACAATTATGACAATATAATTGACAGAACAGTAAGAAAAACACCTGAATTTAATTCCAGAAAAAACTGCTACCAGGGGAAAATAAAGTCATAACCGAGGTTTTGAGACTGGCCATAAGAAAGGGTTGGAGAACTATTCTCTAAGAGCTCTGGACACAGAGCTTCAGCTGATCCAGTCTGGGTGTCTGGGCCAGATGACCTGGGATTGCCCAGCAAGCACACTGTTATCTGTCTGGCTCTATCAACAGCAAGAGTCCTTCAGCTTCATCACAGAGTACTCTCCAATGTGTTATAGTTGTCCTTAAAGCTCTTCAATTCAAGGAAGTGCTTGGCACGTTTACTCTTCTGACTGGAGGGGAGGTATGTCACCTGAATGGTTGTTGGAGAGACTTCAGGAGACTGGGTTAGGTCTTTGGCTGCTGACTGGTGTTGTCGCTGAGAGCTCCCACTTCGTGCTTTGACCCTGAGGAACAAAGAGAAGGCAGGTCGTGGACAGAATGAGGAGTAATGGAAGAGTTCAATTCAGGGCTTATCCATCCCATAAATGCAGCTGTAACCACAGTCTCCATCTTATTTTATAAACTAGTTACTAAAATCCTATCTGGTAGTTTAGAAATAGCAGAGAAACCAATTTTCCCACGAGTCTCTGTCTTTGGCTTAACGGGTTCTTCATCTCACTATGCTTAAAGAAAATTTTAAACCCTGCTGATTCACCTAATGTGCGTGTGCGGCTAATGTACTCCCAGTCCAAAGAAAGTGACTTCAAAATGGGATACCAAAAAATAATAAAGTGCTAGTGAACACTTACCATGTTAGGACATTAAAGTTGGTGCTATACCAACATCCCTACATGGTGCTATCATCCCTGTTTGCAAGTTAGGAAATGGAGGGTCCAATAAGTAACTTGCCTAGGTCTCAAAGCTAGCTAGTGACAAAGAGCTGAGAGTCAAACCTAAGTTTGTCAGATATCAGAGTCTATTTTCTTTTTATTATATACACTGACACTTTTTAGAAACTAAAGAAGCTGAATTTTTAAAAAATTGTGGTAATACGGGGCTTCCCTGGTGGCGCAAGGAGTTAAGTGTCAGCACTATGAAACTACCCATAACTACTGCAGCCCTCACCGGGAAGGCGACCCACATGGTGCAACGGACCTCTCTCTGTCTCACCCGCTGCTCCCCTCAGCAGTGTATTTCAGCCAATCCACCTGTTCTGCTCCCCACTCTGTCTCTGGTGAATCCTCTCACCCTTCATTCCCCGGACCTCTGGCCTGTACCCAGTTCTTGTATGCATAAATAAATAAATCTTAAAAAATTTGTGGTAATATATACATTATGTGGCCCATCATAACTATTTCTATTTGTATACAATTTAGTGTTACATTCATATTGTTGTGCAACCAATCTCCAGATTTCTTTTCATCTTGCAAAACACCTTATCAGACAATTCCCTAGTTTCCATTCTCTCCAGTCCCTGGCAGCCAAAGTTCCACTTGAATTCTCTATGAATTGACAATTATAGGTACCTCATAGAAGTGGAATTATATAGTATTTTGTCTTTCAAAGAAACTGAATTTTAAGCAGGCTTCCTGCCTGACTTCCAAATAACCTTTTCCATCCTATTTTTATTTTCATTACCACGCTAAGTTTTTTTACTAGCACCTTTTATCTGTAGTAGTAAGTAAAAAGTACTTTATTTTTAGGGACAGAGAGAAGACAGAACAGGCATGGCCCTTATATATTGAGAAACAATGATTAGCAACAGAAAACAGATGTATTCTTTCAATGGCTGCTAATTTTTTAGTCTAGATTGGTTTTCCTTTGCCACCCTTTCATTTTAACATAAGCATAAACAACTTAACTATTATATTAGTACTTATTTAAAACATTTTCAGACAAAACAATTATCTTCTATAACAGACAGCTGATTCTTCAGTGACACTTTTGCTTCAGAGTTAGTTATCAATGCTTTAAAGTGGCAATACAAATGGGTGGCTAGTAATTCTTACTTTTATCAAATCAAACACAAAAGGAGGACACTAGAACCCTGAAGTGATGAGATCTCAGTGAGCTGAAAAACCATGCCTTTTATTGGTGTAATAGGTTACACTAATTCTGACATTCTACTGAGCTGGAACAAAAAATAGATAACAAGAAAAAGTGCACAAAAATAGAAGGTTCTCTTATTAGCTTGTAGAATAGCAACTTCTTTCTAATGTGAGCAAGAGGCAGTTCTAATAGCCTGGGACCTGACAATTCTTTTTTTTTTTTTTTTAATTTATGCAAACAAGAACTGGGGTATAGGCCAGAGGTGTGAGGGGGTAAGAGAATTCACCAGAGACAAAGTAGGGAGCAGAACAGGCAGAGCTAGTGAAATATACTGCTGAGGGGAGCAGCAGGCGAAACAGGAGAGGTCTGCTGCACCATGTGGGTTAGCTCCCTGGCCAGGGATGGAACTCATACTGCAGTGGCAGGTGATAGCTTGAAAGCGCTGAGACTTTAACCCCTGCACACCAGGGAGGCCCAGGACCTGACAATTCTTATGGATTTTGTTATTGTTTTATGAAGGTCATCTTATTATGGGAAAGGAACAGCACTACTGTATTTTCCAACCAACCCCTTTGACATGGTCCCCTCCAAACTCACACTGTGGCCAGCTCACTCAGGGCCTCCTGATAGCGCAGGTACTCATTCTGGCCGAAAACCTGAGGAAAAAGGAAGAGTGAAGTTAACTCAGTGTAAAGTGTTCCATTAGATCCTTGAAGGAAAAACCTGTCATTCAGCTTACCCCAGTCCCATAGCGAGCTGTCTCATAGCCATCCAGCAGGGTATCAATGAGGGCCTTGCGCACACCCTTGAAAGGAGTACTAGTGTTTCGAAGATCTAGCAAATAGGAGCGGAAATTCTTGCCCATTAAGGAACGGGGATGCCGGCCTTCAGCATGAAATGGGATCTCTGAGGAGATAATAGCAAAAGATACCCCTTCTCCCAGTCTTTAAGCTTTCCAGTTAATTTCCAATGAGTGAAATGGAGGGAAACTCTAATAGCATGGAAGAGACCAGAGGTACAGAGCTGTGTCTGAATGGTCATTTGGTGGTGGCAACACAACTGTAAGCTACACCAACCATACATAATAGTGCCATCATCCCATTTACCCTTCTGCTTAACTATTATGGCTTTCAGATATAAACCATTATTTTGGTAGAAGCAGAACATATATGTAAATGGTTATAGAATGGGAAAAAATTTAAGAACCAATTCTCTTTAGCGTCATGAAAAAGCAGATGCTGCCTGTTTTTTTTGGATTAACAAGCACATTACCACCGTTTAGCTCATGAAACTATAAGCTTAAAGAGAACAATATACAAATCCAGACTCTCTGGAGAATAAGTTGTCTACATCACTGACTTCAGTAAGAGTAACCCACAACTCTTAAAACTAGAAAATTCTTACTAGTCAGGGATGTTCAGAAAGGACAAAGACTAACACATATAAAGTGGGTTCTTCCTTCTCTTCCCCAAGTGAGCATTCAGAACCCTGCATGGATCCTGCTTAGTAGCCCTTACCAGAAGCACGGATGGCATCTAGAGCTTTCATCCTGTAGAGATAGTTGTAGCAATCTGTTGAGAAAGAGACTGTTCTTAGGCATAACACTCAAAGATTGTCCAGCAAGTTAATAAACTGCCTCCCCATATGTGACATACTAGCCAGCTACACAGGAAACACAATGCTGTTGGTTTTGCTAGCAGCTATGTTGACAAGTCTGAGAGCAAAAGGAATTTTTAACTTGTGGGATTCCTCACTGAAGTATCCTCTAAGAGCCTGCCACATACTCTGATTTCCTTGGGTTTCCAGTTGTAGTAGTCTTGTATCATCATCTGCAAGAAGCTGAGGTTCATACTTGATATCTTGAACTCTGGATAGTCGGATATCAATCTCCTCTTTCAAGTCCTGTTCATATAAAGAAAATAAACAATAATTTACCCTATACCCGTTCCCCTTCAATCTGTAAATGGGGCACAGCAAGCGAACAACTACAATAAACAGAATAAGATATTTATTTGACTAATAAAATTTCCAGATAAGACTCAATAACTTACAGTGTTGGGTTTTCTAAGAACCTCTCTCAGCTAAAACCTTTTAACCTGCCAGAATTCCTACAGCATCTACATTATTTCTATCAATTGGCTTTAGAAAATCTTGTTTTATTAAAAAGAACTTCCTGGGCTAGGAAAAAATTATAGCAACTGAAGTCATTATCAATGCTAAAAATCTGTAAGGTCTGTATGTGGTTACAATAGTTTGGGGACTACTGTAACCTAAAGGAATGTGGAACTTCCAAAAGCTTTCTTCTAGGGCATGTTTACAATTTTTTAAAAAAAGATTTATTTATCTGGGCCTTTCTGGTGGTGCAAGGGGTTAAGCACTGCACTATGAAGCAATCTGCAGTCTCTGCAGTAAAAGTTCAATTCCTGGCCGGCCAGGTTGCAACCCACATGGTGCAGCAGACTTCTCCTGTTGCACCCGCTGCTCCCCTCAGCAGTGTGTTTCAGTCAGTCTGCCTGTTCTGTTCCCCACTCTGTCTCTGGTGAATCCTCTCACCCCCAGCATCTCTAGCCTGTGCCCCAGCTCTTGTATGCATAGATAAATAAATCTTAAAAAAAAAATTATTTATCTATGCATACAAGAATTAGGATGTAGGCAAGAGGTCTGGGGGGTGAGAGGGTTCACCAGAGACAGAGTGGGGAGCAGAACAGGCAGATCTACTGAAATACACTGCTAAGGGGAGTAGCAGGCAACACAGGAAAGGTCTGCTGTGCCATGTGGGTTAGGTCCCTAGCAGGGGATCAAACTCATGCTGCAGTGGCTGGTGATAACTTGATAGCACTGAGACTTTAACCCCTGCACCACCAGGGGGGCCCAGGCGTATTTCATTTTTGAAGGAGGTTATTCACATTCATGACATACAATTCAGAAAAGTACTAAAGACATCACCTCTCACTTATCCAGAGGTAACCGTTACTAAGTTTCAAATTCCCCTCTCTTAACAGGGTTGCCAGATTTCCAGCAATTTTTTTCTTGTAACTTTTTAAGAAACTTCCATTGTGAAATATATCATAGACAAAATACACATAACACATGTATACTTTAAGTATTTATAAAAATCATTACAATGTACACCTGTTAGCTGTACAGCTTATACACTGGAATATCACTATGACTTTGAAGTCTTGTGTGCCCAACTCTGAATGAATGCAGCCCTATCTTAATTTGTCAATAATCTTCTTACTTTTCCTGTTTTATCATGTGTCACTCTAAGGAAGATATTTGGCTTTGCCTGATTTTGAAGTTTAAACAAACAGAAAAATAGTGTTTGAATTCCTCTGCAACCTGTCTTTTAAAATTTTAAGTAAATTGAGGCTGAATTTAAATACAATAAAATTCATCCATTTTTAAGTGAGTAGATCAATTAGTTTTGACAAATATGCCCACTCAGCCACCAATCCAATCAAGACACGGAGCATTTCCATTATTCTGAAAAGCTCTTCATATGCCATTGTAGGCAATCTCCCCCCATCCTTGCCCCAGCGACAATGATGTGCTTTCTATCAATATAGTTCTGCTTATTTTAGAATTTCATTTAATGGACTCATATGGTAGACAGTCTTTTGCAAATGGCTTTCTGGCTTTTTTTTTTCATTCAATAGCTTTCTGGAGTCATTCAATTTGGTGGCTTACTTTTTTCATTCAGAAATATTTTGAAGTCATTTGTGTTCAGATATATTTATCTTGTTCATTTTCACTTTTCATATCAAATACATATATCCACTCTTATGAGAACATTTGAGACATTTGAACATTTGGATTGTTTCTTTTTTAAACTATTACAAGCAATGCTATGTATATTCTTGTACATGTCTCCTAGTACACATGACTAAAAATTAATTTCCTATGATAGGAGTGGGATTGCTGGGCTGTGGGTTAGATACATGTGCAACCTTACTAGATAACACCCAGCTATTTTCCACAGTGACTTTACTAAATTATACTTCTACCAGCAATAAATGAGAATTTAGATGATTCTTAAAAAATTTTTAAAAATTTATTTATTTATGCATACAAGAGCTGTGGTACAGGCCAGAGGTGTGGGAGGCAAGAGGATTCACCAGAGACAGAATGGGGAACAGAACAAGCAGATTGACCGAAGTACATTGCTGAGGGCAGCAGCGGGCCAGCCAGGAGAGTTCTGCTGCGTCATGTGGGTTGCTCCCTGGCCGGCCAGGGATCGAACTCGTGCTGCAGAGGCTTTGGACTACTTCATAGGTTGTGTCTGAACCCCCTGCACCACCAGGGAGGCCCTAGATGATTTTTTTTTAAAGCCAAAAGAAATCCTGATCTCATGGGGGTTGAGGGTGGGTAAGTTTCCAAAAAGTCCAAATTTTGACTGGTTCATGATGTACAAGAAGCTAACCCTATACATATTCACCATGGAATATTACTCAGCATTCAAAAAAAGATAAACACATGCAATTTGCAGCAACATGGATGGCGCTGGAAGGGATCATGCTCAGCGAAATAAGCCAGAAAGAAAAAGAAAAATACTGGATGGTCTCCCTCATAGCAGGAATCTAGAAAACGTAAATAAGGGACCAGGAAAATGAATAACTATAACAAAGTGAAAATCAAAATCAACAAACAACTATGAACCAGAGACACTCTATGGGGGGTGGGGGGCGGGGAGGGATTGGGGTCAAAATAAGGGGGTTGTAATTGTATGGGGAATATAAAAATAAAATTTATTGAAAAAAAAAAAGGAGCCAACCCTATATCCCTCCTTTAAGGGAAGCAGCAGGCATCTGGAGAAGTGAGGGTATGTGGAAGGAGCACTGTTAAGGTTTTAGGTTATTATCTCCTCCTTGAGGTTTTCCAATACATCAGCAAATACTGGAGAGTTAATAGCACTGGTTAATGAAAAAAATTGGTTTAGGAATTGAGAGTATTACCAGCTCTCCAACTAACCTGTTTTTCATGCAACAAGGAATCATTAGGTCCCTATTTTTTTTATATATATAGGTCCTGGCTTCATAGTGGTGAACAAAACTGATGGTGCCTGCATGGTGTCATGCATCTGCAAGCTTATTACAGTCAAGTGGTAGAGAGAGCTAGTAAACAGACAAGTAAACAGGAAGGGAAATTCACAGTAAAACGCCATCTACAAAAACTCAGGGTACCGTGAAAAAAACAAAGCACCTACTTTAAAAATGGTAGTAAGCACTCCTCTTTGGGGGTAATGATATTGACGTTAAGATCTAAAAAAACAAATGATCTAGCCAGTGGGCCAGAGGATGATCATTCTAGGTACCGTAATAGCACATGTATAGGTAGAAAATTCAACCACTGTAGAAGGATGTTAGTGATTTGTGGGAAGAGTCATACAAAAGGAGGCTGGGTAGGGCAGTTTACAGCGAAGTAAAAAGAGAAGCAGGATGGTAGCAGAAGGGTATTAAGAGCTCAGATTTGGACATCTGATTTAAGATGCCTATAGAAATCTAAGTGGGAATATTAGGTAGGGAGTTGGACATAAAAGCTCAGGAAAGAGGCTTGGGGTAGAAATAAAATTTCATCAATAGATACTTAAAGTCATATAAAGGAAGACAACAAATTATTGAAAGAGAATATATAGACAAGGCCTCCCTGGTGACCCAAGGGTTAAAGTCTCAGCGCTACTGCCAGTCACTGTGACACAAGAGTTCCAACCCTGGCCAGGAACTTGACCCACATGGCACCCTCTCTTGTCTTACCTGCTGCTCCCCTCAGCAGTGTATTTCAGTGGATCTGTCTGTCTGTTTTGCTCCCCACTCTGTCTCTAGTGAATACTCTCACCCCACAACTCCCCGCACCTCTGGTCTATATATGCTCTCTTGTATGCATAGAGAAATAAAATAGGGACTATTGACTGATTCACTTTCTGTACATCTTTTCCTTAGGTTTCAATTTGCAGCATGAATTATGGGACTAGATGATTTATAGGGTCTCATAAAATTGAAAGTCTACAAAAACAACCCTTCTCATTTATTTGGGGCTAATTTTAACCACCCTCATCCCATCCTAAAACAAATGTTACAAAGAAAAAACACTGGGTAATTTAAAGCTGAGGCGGGAAACACCACACCAAAGATTGAGGCATTTTAACCCAAATCCTTCATTCTACCGATGCAAAACACCAAGTTCCCCTGTTATGTTTACTCGTATGCGATTGCAGGTAAGCCAAGACCCAAACTGACAAAGGTTGCTCAATCTACTAAGCACGTGGGTAACTCAACAAGGAAACACGGTAATTAATGTCATCTCTAAAGGTACAGAGCAGCTCATTCTGGGTCCTGAAGATCTGGAAAACCTTAGGAACCTACCTTGGGGGCATTGTGTCCCACAGGGACATGAGGTCCCCTTCGAGATTTCATTGCAAAGCGCATGATTTGCCTCTTCACAAAAATAAATAGCAGTACAAACACCTGTCCAAGAGATATGAAAAGAATCTTTAATGACCTTTTTTTTTTTTTAAGCATGCTTTCAAATTCCCAGATTCGGGCTTTCTTGATGCTTTGGGGTATCGCTTGAGGCAAAGCAGGAGTCTAACAGATGCGGTGGATATAAAAATGCCTGTTGCGGGAAGGCGTAGGGGTGGTCGGTGCTCCGGAGTTTAGAGGGAGGGTTCTCGGCCAGGGGCGGGGCGGTCCAAGTCTGTGACTTAGGCTCCCAAGTACTCCTGGGTAGGAGTCAAAGCCCAGAAAAAGCGCAGGTGAGTGGGTGGAGAGAAAAGACAGGGAACGGCCCAAGAGGGTCTCTACTGGGTCAGAGGCGACAGCAGGAAAGGGGAAGGGGATCTCCTCACCAGGCTCCCGTAGGCCATCACCAGCACGACATTCACCCCGGACAGCCAGTTACTGCTGGACGCCATGGCCTCCCCACCCCGCGCAGAACTGCTCCGGTTTGCCCCGCTGCCCTATCCCGTCAGCCCGGGCTCCGCCGACGCAACGGCGCCTGGGTTCCCTGAAGCTCCTCGGCCATTTCCTTACGGGGAAAGACCAAGGTAGACCCGGCCTGAAAACATGGCGGACGGGGGGGGGTGGGTCCTAGAAAGAAGAACGACGCCGTCCCGCTACCCCCAGCACGTGACCCTGGGCAGCTATAGCGTAGAGTGCGGAGACGCGGAACTTACGCCAGTAAGAGGAAGCGGAGGCCATCGTGTGTCACGTGGTGGAGGCGGGGCCGCCGAGGAGGGGGCGGGTGGACCCGCGGAGCTGGAATGAGGTGTCTCGTGGCGCGGCGGCGCGCGCACGTTTGCGTGCGCGTTCCTTTTCGCGTCACGTGCTGGGGAACGCAGGAAGGCAAGTGGGAGGGGGAAGGCGCGAGAGCGAGCGCGAGAGGGAAAAGGAGGGAGGGGGTGGGGAGGAGGGAACCTTATATCACGTGATAGGGGCGGCGCGGCCCGGGGTGTCAGTGTGGAGGAGACTGAGGTAAAGTTGGGAGCGCAGCGGCGTTGGCGGCGGCGGTGGCGGCAGCGGCAACGCGGCGGGGCCGGGTATTGTCCGCGGCCCCTTTAAATCCGCGATCCCCCTTTTACCCTCCCTCCTTTCTCCCCTACCTCCGCCGTATCCCCCTCCCTCGGTGGGCCCCCCCGCACCGTGTGTTCCCCTACTGTACACCCCCGTCCTGTTCGTGCGAGCCCTGGCTCCCCCCCTCCCCCTCCACCGAGTCGGCCGCTGGAGGTTTTGTTTATGGTTGGGTTCGCGGCCTAGTGGGCCGCGCCAGAGCCGGGGCCTCGATTTGGGAGCGTGGCCGGGGCGGGGCTTGGGCCAGTCGGAGGGGGGGGCCATGCGGCTGGAGCCTGAAGGGGGGGAGAGCGAGAAAGAGCGCGAGCGGGTGAGGCCTGGGCCCCGCCTGAGGTAGGGCCCACTCTCTCCCCTGGCCGGTGCCTGTGGCGAAGACGAGGGGCCTCCTCCCTTTACGATCCTCTGCGGGCCTCCTCTGATCCGGATCCGGCCTGGTTTGGGGGTGGAGGGGAGAAGGAGGGCGATGGGGTGGAGCTGCCCCGAACTCCCCCATGTGGCCCTCAGTTTGGAGTGCGGAGGATTAATTTGTTCCGGGTGGGAGGTAAGGAGGCGATTGGCCCGGTGAGCTCCGATGTGGCGCTGAGTGGGGCGAGCCTCCCATCCTCCACGCGTGGGCTTGCGTCCCCTCTCCGTTTCCAGCCTCTTTGTCAGCTCCTCTTATTACCCTTCCTTCTTTCTCACCGCCCCGGCTCTTAAAATATGTTTTTTGTATCTGACTTTACCTTCTTGTCCAGATAGTAGTTTTGGGAATCTCAATTATGTTATTTGGGAAGCTGGACATGGAGACCCCTATAGGGTGTATTCCGCCTGAGGGTCGTCACGAGAGCACTGGGGTGTTTGTTCACTCCTCTCATAATGGGGCAGGAATCCCAAAATGCTCTAGACCCTGCACCTTGTCGAGACAGTCCCTAAATTGTTTTGCAAACTGATGTCACAAACAGACTGCTTCTTTTCCACCGTTCTTGAAATGTAGCCACCTCTGGTGTAGGATGTTGTGAAAAGAAAACCTCCACAGTAACAGGCGTTTTGTTGTTACTCTATTTTCCTTTTGGCTTTTGACCCTCCCTGAATATTAGAGGGAGTATCCTTTTTTGTCTCCTCCCTCACCTTCCACCACCCATATTCTGCTTTGGGGATATCTGATGTGACTTGCTGGGAGGTGGTGAGGGTCAGTGACTATCAGCTTTACTGGAGAACTAAAACATTTTGGCTGTGTATGGGTTGTAAAACTGCACCATTGTCCTTAAAGATTAGACTATCACAGTGATTATTTCAGTCATGAATGGGAAGTGTTGCAGGCGTGTAAACTAATGATGAAAGGCCTAAGACTGTTTTTTGATTTTTATAGCCCTCCTTGCAAAATGTGTCCTAACTGGGAAGTACTCTTTTACAAATTAGATTCAAGTTGATGTGGGAATGGGGAGGATGAAGGGGTTATTTTCACACAGTGTCTAGGGAAATTCCTTGCTCTGTTAGAGGTAGCAAGCTTTACCCACCCAAGTCCAACCTCAGTTTCTGAATTGTTTCGCCAATTAATTAGATTGTAAGCTCCCTGAGGGCAGCACTAAGTCATTGTTTTTGTATTTCCTAAAGTACTGGACACACAGTAGATATTCAATAAATACTTGTTATTTATTTTTTTCTGTAAAATTTCTCTGGCTATTTTTTTAAGTAGCTGGTGTTCAAGGAAACCTGTATCTATTCCCACACCATTCCTTGGTCTCCAATACTTCTCACCTATTTTCTTTGAATGTTTTTATTTTCTAAGTAAGAGTACTTAAGATTTCTCATCTCCACTGTGATAACTCTGGATATGTGTTTCTACTTGTTACTAAAAGGCTGCTAATTTTGTGTCCCCTAGTGATCCATCCCAGTTCACTTACTTTAGACCTGTTGCTTGGTAGTGTTACTCTCTAGGTGGTAAAATGTTCTTAGTCACATATTTCAAAGCACTTGCAGGAGACAAATGGAAGTTAAGCAAGAATGATCGTGAAGATTTTTTTTCTCTTCTGAACAATGTGGTTTTCAGATGCTTTTTAAAATATATTTATGTTGACTGGTACAGTATATGTGGTCACACATATAACTAGTCATGCAATTTACATCTGCAGTGTATCATGCACACGAATTGAAATCGCATATAGACTAGAGAGCCAATATTTGTAAGTTAGAATGATCACTCCCATATTAGAAACTTCATCCTAGAACCAATTATTGAGCATAATTTTCCTGTAGTTATTTTCTTGTTGATTTGAACCCCAGGGTATTTGGTTAAACAACACTTTTGTTTTTGTAAATTAAGTGTTGAAATTTGACTGTAAAGCTAGCCTGGGAAAATAAACTACTGTGTAGCTAACAGCCCTCTACTAGCTTGAAATATTTACAACCTTTGTGCGCACGTGTGTGTAGGGGGAAGAGGTAATGGTTAAAAATTAGCACTGAAGTTGCCTTAAAACCTTTCTTGGTGATAGAGGATGTAGAAATCTTAATTTTTAACGATGACATTAAAAAATAAAGGCCTTTGTAACCTATTGCCCAACTTGATAAAGGATTTATCCCCAGGGAAGTCAGCTTTCTTTGTGACCCAAGAAACAGGTGAAAATAACTTCCCTAATAGTCAATCCTTGCATATTTGTTTAGAAGCCCATCCTATCTCTCCTTCAAATCCAGCAATGTTTCTGGGTAATCTAGACTTACCTTGCATAAAGTGTCACTGATGGGGAAAAAAAAATTAAATATAGAGCAGAAAGGTATAAACTTATCTTCTTTGGAAGGGAATGAAGCAATGCAAACTAATCTCTTATTTTGAGCACTCCATCATATGAATGTTTTCTTTGTTTACTAAATGCAGCAGCTGAGATTGCATCATAAAAGAAAATATGAATGAAGGGAAATTAAATTCTGTAGAATTCTTGCTTGTTAGAAGAGTTATAACAAAAACTGTTCGGTTTTGGGAAGGCCCTGTGTCGTCTTTGTCTCTTTAAAGACTCAACAAAGTCATCTTGCCAGTAATAATATCTCAAGTTTAAAATGATTTCCCAGAAGCCCTTCCAAATAAAACTTTGTGCTAAATGCTTTTGGTTTGGGACTCTGTATATTAAGGTGAGTGGTTGAGGGTAATTGCAATTCTGGTTTCTTGAAACTGGACTAGGAGACTGACAGAAGCAGCCAAAAAGCAGTGTGTTGGAATTATTATTCAGGGAACTGAAATTCTGGGCAAACTCACTGGGGCTAATACATGTCTTGCTGAAGGCCACAGGAACATGCTGCTCCCACAGCATGCTGGAAATACAAACTAGGGAGAAAGAGGCTAGACTTGAGCTTGTCCCTTTCCACAAGGTGGAGGTCACATGCAAGTTACATAAAATGTTTTTAAGGCAGGTAAGGGTGTTTTCATAAGTAGTTTAAGTTGTTTTTATTTGACTCATAGACTAATAAGCATCTGGAAGGCTTATTGCATTTAGGCTTTACCTATTTTTCCTTCTGTTAAAGGAATTTTAAGATATTTTCACTTATAAAAATGTTTTGGTTATTAACATTGTTTTACTTACTATCAAGGTTGCAGAAATTCATAAAGCTTATATTTACAGAGAAATAGTAATGAAAGTCTGCTTGTAACTTAAAAACAACACATTTATACATTTTTTTGTTAATTGAAAGTGGATTAACAGCCAGATATCTCTCAGGAATTTATCAAACTAAGTCTCAAGAATAGGCTAATCTTCATGGTTTGTTCTTTTGAAGAAATGAAAGTGAAGGTGCTGATGAAAGAGGTTGGAAACATTTTGCCCACAGTTAACAATCTAAACTTTTTTTTTTAACTTTCAGTATTCTACCTTGTAAATACTGTTATTTGTATATACTGTAAATGATGACATCGGTGGGCACTAACCGAGCCCGGGGAAACTGGGAACAACCTCAAAACCAAAATCAGACACAGCACAAGCAGCGGCCACAGGTAAAGAACCCAAGGGATGTGGATCCATGGGTAGCTTTGCTGGTTGATAACTAGTTTCCATCCAATGCAGCATCATTCTATGCTTTGGATTATCGATTTGGGTTCTTCATTCTGGTTTTTCTAGTTCTTGTACTTAGTTGGAGCTTTATAACAATGACATGCTTTATTGCAGTATGCTTACTTTCTGTTGTTTAATACTGCACTTTGAGGTTTAGGAAAAAAATGGGTCCTCTGGTTTGTATTTATCAGAGGGCACTTCCCTTTCATCTGGGCCTCTTTCAGCAATGCATTTCTTTCCTAGATCTTTCCACCTTGACGTCTCATTAGCCAACCTTTGTCTTGCTGCCTTTCCCCTTTTCTTTGCTCTTCTTTTCTCTTAACTTTTTCTTCCTTTCTGGTCTCAGCGAGGCCCACCTAATAAGATTTTTCCCTTCCTCTGTGATGCGCGAGCATCTTCATTGTATTACTTTAAAATTAACAAATGAGACACCCTAGAGTGTTGCTCAGTTTAAAGGAGTACTTATTAATTTCCTGAGTACTGAGGTTTATATTTTTTGTTGTTGATGTTTGTTTTGAAAGTTTGATTTAGATGTGATCTGTTTTCTATAACTGGTTGGTGGTGTTTGGTAACTACTGTGAGAGAATTAACTTACGCGTGATTATGGTCACATAAATTGAATTTGTAAGGCTAGAGTTTTCGTCTTACCCATTTTTCTTTCACTTGTATTCCCAAATGTATTTCTCGTAATATTTTACTACTTAATTTCAGTTGGGATAGTAAAATTCCTGATAATCTTCTGAACATGCACTGTATATGCATATATGCTCAGTCTATTCTCAGACTAAACCTTATGGTGTTCTCAGCCCTGGAATGAGAGGATGATATTGGCTATTGCAGAAGCAGGAACAACACATGACTTTGTAAAGAACGTTAATGTGAATTAAGGCGCAGATGTTTCAAAGTGGTGCTGTGATCCCAAGATGAAAACCTCTTTAACTGAACATTGGTGAAAAATCTCTGCTTTCACTGTGGTTTTTTTTTTTTTTTTGGTTGTTGTTGTTTTGATCATTTTGCTGATTGAAGCATCTTGAATGGTATTAGTTCTTTATTAGTTGGTCATTTGTAAAAAGGAGAAGGAAATTGGGGTGGGTGGTGGAGTGGATATTGACTACATAGTGCTTCTTATTTCTCTTAAACTGTTGCCTCTTGATCATGCCTTCTTGATCTTTCAATTTCTAGGCCACTGCAGAACAAATTCGACTTGCACAGATGATTTCGGACCATAATGATGCTGACTTTGAGGAAAAGGTGAAACAAGTGAGTGTATCACTTAACTCGCTATAAGCTATGGTAAAAGATGCCAGGGGTAAAGCCTATTTAAATAACAGAATATTTTCTACTATAGGTGAAGAATTAATAATGGTAGTTTAAGGCAATAAATAAGTGCTTTTACTATTTCATTTATTATACTGTTTGATATCTTGTTCAATGAGGTTTTATCTTAAGTTTAACCTCGTTTGGTTTTTTAACCTCTGAAATGCTTTTGTTGATTCCACTTTATAGCCACTTTGAGTTATGGCATGTAGAAAATAATGGAAATTCTTGGTATGCTGAAGTTTCTGTGTGTTCTGGGTTTGAGTCTCTAGTAGTTGGTTAATTGTTTGATAGCTTTGTAAATACTTTGGACCCCCATCCCTAATATTTTGCTTTTGGAATTAGAATACCACAATTCTACATATTTTGCTTTTTAAGCCTGGTGCTTTGAGACTCAGCTAATGTCTCCTCTCTTTTTAAATTCTTTACTTAGTTTTTCCTTTTAGGGGAGTGCAAGTTTGTCTTGATGTTTGCTGATCTTTCTCTTTCAGTTGATTGATATTACAGGAAAGAACCAGGATGAATGTGTCATTGCTTTGCATGACTGCAATGGAGATGTCAACAGAGCCATCAATGTACTGCTGGAAGGAAACCCAGATACGGTAATAAAGTATTCTAGAAAGTGGGTCCCTGGTTGAGAAATTAGTAATATTCTAAAAGTAGCAATTACTTTTAGCAATAATGCAACTTAAAGCTGAATACTTAGCTTTCTAAATAGAGCAAGCTTGAAGATTGTTTGCTGTTGGTTGTAAATACTTAAACTGTACATACAATAAATAGGAGAAAACAGATAAAATCAGTCTCCTCTAGTTGGTCTGGAATAAATTATTTATATTGCATTAGTAACTTACTGGGTTAGTCTCGATTAGAGATGCTATTTACTTTTAGTTTAATCATTTTGTTTCAAGTGTATTTTTATTTTTTAAGATTTATTAATTTTTATGCATATAAGAGCTGGGGTACAGGCCAGAGGTGTTGGGGGGGGGGTGAGAGGATTCACCAGAGACAGTGGGGAGCAAAACAGGCAGACTACTGAAATACACTGCTGAGGGGAGTAGCGGGCGAGACAGGAGAGGTCTGCTTTGCCATGTGGGTTACTCCCTGGCCAGCCGGGGATTGAATTCGTGCTGCAGAGGCTGTGGATTGCTTCCTAGTGCAGTGCTTAACCCCTTGTGCCACCAGGGAGGTCCCAGCAGTTAAACTTTATTTACTGTCTGTTGACCATCCTGAGAGATGATAGGACATATTTTTGAGGACCACTTGCCCTGGAATGTGGAGTAGTTGCTTTTACCCTTCTCATTTCCACTTATTTCTGCATTTGTGCTATCTTACCAAATTTTAAGTCCCTTAAGAATGGGAATTCTGCCTTATAATCTTTGGAATGTTCTTGCAGCCCTTACTAGAGCATTTCTTCATGAGCAGTGTGTCACTTAGAAATATTTTCTTTTACTTGGCCTTATGCTGAGGATCTTTGGTTGGGATTGATACTAGCATTCATCCTTAGATTGGTTTACTGGTGTCATGTCACTTTAGCTAGATGTTGGAGGTTTGTCAGTTTCCTTGAGAGCATGGGAAGTATTAATGGAAAACTTTTTAAAGTTGCATTTGAATTTGTACAATTTTTTTCTTCAAAAGTGTGGTTAAAGATTAAAATTTATATCATTGACCTTATTTGAAAATTCTGTGGCTGTACAATCAGATGCAGGATCTTTGGTTCATTTTCACTTTACTATATAGAGTGATTGTCTCAAGATGTTTTGGGGTGGGGTGAAGTGGGACTACCATGCTTTATTTATATGTACAATTTTTTTTTTGTACAATCACATTTGTTTCACCTTCTGTCATCTGGTGCTACCAGTGTGACCTACAGTATCAAAAAGGAAGATAGATAAATGGGAGGATGGATGTAGACTTATGCCACAGATAGATCAGCCACTAGTGAAACCAGTGGGAAGCAAAGTCACTTGCCAGAGATGTTGGATGTATTTAGGTGGGTGAAGTCCATATAAAAAAAACTGATAGTGCCTTTGGCAAGATCTTAGTAATTCTATTTTTTTTTTTTTTTTTTTGTGGGACCCTCACCAGCTGCCGGGGAACGAACCGGCGCTGCAGAGGTTGCGGGCAGCTTTGCAGCCCAATGCTCAACCGCTGCGCCACCAGGGGAGGCCCAAGATCTTAGTAGAACCCATCTGGTATATACCATAGAGGAGGGTGACTATGACAGGTTTCTGAAACTTGCCAGGTTTTGAGACAGATTATCAAAAAGTTTAAATAAAGTTCTTTTGAGTCTGGTTTTTAGGGTTCCTGATTCAGATTGGGTTGTAAGGTTATACTATAACATATGAATTAAACTCTGAGCGTAGAGTGGCGTACTGGATACAGTGAGGTCCTAAGAATAGGCAATGAGGGTTGCTGAGTTCTAGGTGAAAATATAATCTTTAAAAAAAATTATCAAACTATTTGTTGTACACTGTTTAGAATATTTAGAGAACTTTTTAATATAAAATTTACCCTTTCTTGAACTTAAAACCTTTTTAAAATTGGTAAAGTATATTTAACAAAGTTTACCACTTTTAAAATTACAGTCCAGTAGCATTATATACATCAACATTGTTATAGTCATTACCACTCTATCTTCAGAACTTTTTCATTTCCCAAACACAAATTGCCCTTTAAACAGTAACTCTCCATCTCTTCTTCCCAGCCTGTCAAGCTACTTTATTTTCTGTTTCTGTGCATTTGCCTTTCTTATGAGCTAATGAGTAGAGTTATACAGTATTCGTCCATCTTTTGTGTCTGACTTGACTTGACTCAGCATGTTTTCAGGTTTGTCCATTTTGTGGCAAGTGTCAGATTTATTTTTTATTTTTAAATGATGATGTTTTTTCGAGTTGATGGATTTATTTTTTTAAAAAAGATTTATTTATGCATTCAGGAACTGGGGTGCATACAGGCCAGAGGTGTGGGGAATGGGGGGTGGTGAGCGGATTCACCAAGAGACATAGTGGGGAGCAGAATAGGCAGATTGACTGAAATATACTGCTGAGGGGAGCAGCAGGCAAGACAGGAGAGGTCTGCTGCGCCATGTGTGGGTAGCTCCCTGACTGGCCGGGTATCGAACTCGTGCCATGATGCAGTGGCTGTGGATAGCTTCATAGTGCTGCAGCTTAACACCTTGTGCCACCAGGGAGGCCCAGGTTTTTTTTTTAAATAAAGTTTTTTCTTTTTTCTTTTTTTTTCAAAATGTGCAGTTAATGGGTCCTGTTCATGCATCTTCACCAGCAGCTGGGGCATTTCCACCCTTGGTGTTTCTGGTGTAAATTACTTATTCTCTGTGTTGATAAGTCTTTACTAAGGAGCTCCTGAAGGGTCACCTTGGTTTAGGAACCATGAATCTTTGGCCTCTTAGACATAACAGCTGGGATTATGGGCTTACAGTTGGGAACTTTTTAGAGAGTTTGTCACATGTGACTTTGTCAAACAAGCTAGATTATTGAGCTTGTCTAGAACTTCACCTTTGGACTAGTCCTTACTGACCTTGCTTCCAGATTTATTCATTGGATCTTTGTCTTTCTTGGCTGACTTTCGGGTGTCTTTCTTCTTATCATCTTTGGGTGCCATCGCAAAGCCTGGAGAACAGCAATCATAACACTCTCACTACAATGTCAAAAAGGAAGATGTGTCAGAATCTCATTCCTTTTTATGGGAGAATAATAAATATTCCTTAACATGTCTATACCACATTTATTTATTCATCCATGGTGGACATTTGGAATTATTTGGAAGAAACTTGTAAGCATTATAGTAGTTTATTCTCTAAATTCTCCAGCATGCTTCCCTAAAAGAAGGATACTCTTTTATGTGACCATAATATTATCCATCATGAGAAAATTAGTGGTAATTTTATATTACACTTCATCTGTATTCTTTGAAAGTTATTAAATATCAAATAACTGCTGCTGAGCAGCCATTGTTCCTTGTGTTAGATAGTAGCTAGGATAGGGTACTCTTGCTTTTTGCGCTGGAATTTTTATTTGTACATATCTGTAAAAAATGTAATCAAGTGTGTATTTAAAATTTTTAATTTACAAAATTCATTTTCCCAAGGAGTGAGGCTGTTTTCCAAAAGTGTTTATTTTCCTTACCGCAATTTAGAAATTATCATAGATTGTCTGCTTTGGGTGCAGTTGTATTGGATTATATCAATTATGGAAAAAGAACACAGTGGATAAAACCTAGATTCGAAGGCTTCCTGTAATCAGTATGTCTTAGGACCAGGGCTGTGCCTTCCTGACTGTTGCTTTGTCTTATAAATAAAGGAATTTGGTGTGTGGGGAGGGAAGTTAAGTATGATTGTTTTCCTCCTAAATTCTGGATTGCTTTATTGGAAATTGTGCTCAAGAATTGAATGCTGCAAATTAATTTGGATTTCATAGTTAACTCTTAGAAACTTTTAAGTTTTCTTTCTTGCTTTATTTGATATAAGTAAGGATCTAAAAGGTTAGGAGTCCCTGGGTGCAAGGGAAGTAGTTTTCAGTCCAAGAAACATAGTTGCAAGATAGGAACCAGAAGCTAACTGGACTAATATGCAGAGTGGCCAGATTGAATAGAGATCTTGGTGATCCTTTTAGAGTTGATCTCTGCAATCCATTAGCATAAGCACCTACCCTATACAAAAGACCTCAGTTTTGCAGTGATTTAGAGTTGGTTTATATTTCAACAGAAGTAAACCAGTGAGTGTCCTAGATGTGGATGCTGAGGGCAGAAAGGTTAATGGTTGTTTGAGCTTTTACCTCTGATTGCCTAATGTAATCCATATCGAGTAGACATGACTGTTTTTCTTTTCTTTAGCATTCCTGGGAAATGGTTGGGAAGAAGAAGGGAGTCTCAGGACAGAAGGATGGTGGCCAGACGGAATCCAACGAGGAAGGCAAAGAAAATCGAGACCGGGACAGAGACTATAGCCGGCGACGTGGTGGTCCACCAAGACGGGGGAGAGGTGCCAGCCGTGGACGAGAGTGTATGCATGGGGCTTTAACAAAACCAACTGTGGGTCAGTAATGTCTAGACTTTGGGGGGGATGTATCAGGGCACTACTAGGATGGACCTAGTTACTGTTATATCATCCTTTTGATTTTTCTTGCCATTATCTGTTCTGAGACCTTGGCATCTCTTGCATATAACCTTTTCTAGTAATAGTCATTAATTTGGCATGAAATTACTTGTAGTCACAAAGTTATTTGACTTGCGTTCTCTGTTGTGGTTCATCCCCTTCTCCAAATAACCATCATGTCCCGTCCCTCCAGCTTATTTTCTCTTTGTTTTTGCCTCCTCCTCATCATATATATACATATATATGTATATATATAATTATATGTGTATATGTCTATATGTATATAGTTTATTGTTCTGCTGACTGCTCTGGCCATCTATGTTTCTGTGTTTTTAATTTCAGTTCGGGGTCAGGAAAATGGATTAGATGGCACCAAGAGTGGAGGGCCTTCTGGAAGAGGCACAGAAAGAGGGAGAAGAGGTCGAGGCCGAGGCAGAGGTGATTGGCTTATTGGGGGATTGGATATTGGTACCCTTATTAGCTCTGTAGGGGTCTACTTAATAAACATTTCCACATGGAGTCTGGTACATTAATTGTTGAAGTGTCATGACATGTGAATACTTGGGAGACTGCTGAATAGGGGGTGGGAAAGAAGGCAGATGTTATTTCCTCTAGTCATTATTTATATTACTGTGTTTGAGAATCCAGCTGTTTGATCATCAATGGGATGATCTATTGATAGTAATGATTGTCCTATGCTGTTATGTTAACTGATGCTTCGCATAGTGAAAAAGTATCTGATAATATTTATCACTTACTATTTCAGAGTTACTGCAGTTGGTAAGGTGGTAGTATATCAACTGTGAAAACACTTACCTCTTTTTTTTCTTCCTTTAGGTGGCTCTGGTAGGCGGGGAGGAAGGTTTTCAGCTCAAGGAATGGGGTAAGTTTCATGGTGAATCTTCGTGAGACACAAGACTTTTTCTCCTCCAAAGGGTCACCATAAAATTTTTAAGTGGTTAATACCCTGAGGATAATATGACGCCATAAGCAAAAATTTGATCACAAAGATTTTTAGACTATTTAATTAGAAAAATGTGTAGACTTAGGGCTTATTTTTACAGAGATAAGTTTCGCCCCTTAAATTACTCTCACAGCTTCATTTCAGGGCATGTACGTGCTATTTTCCCACAGTCTTCCATGTGGAATTTATGATGGTTATTGGTGTCCTAACTCAAGGGATAGTAGCTATAAATTGAGATTACACCATGAAATTTAGTAAAGGTGTACACACTGTGTAGGATTATAGGATGTAGAGCCAAGTTTGATCTGTCTAAGGAAAGAGATAGTCAGGATTCTGATTGCCCTCCTCTTTGAGTTAATTTTTGTTGGTGCTGCTTAGAAGTCAGAGACTCTTTCAGCTTTTTTTCCACTCCCCCAGAACTTTTAACCCAGCTGATTATGCAGAGCCAGCCAATACTGATGATAACTATGGCAATAGTAGTGGCAATACGTGGAACAACACTGGCCACTTCGAACCAGATGATGGGACGAGTGAGTGACTTTTATTATTTTGTTTCTTGTCTCTGGGAACCTAAGGAGAATTTTTTTGTAGATTATATAGTCATCTCAAAAAAGTGGAGTAGTTTTGGGGTATAGAAATAGGGTGAGAAAGGGATGTCAGTTGAATTACTCTGTATTTATTTACTGTATGCCTTTGGGTACATTATACATGCTATTGCACCTGGTATTCTTGCTGTTTTGTGAAACAGATTTTTATCATCATTTTCCATATGACAAATTAAGGCTGAAAGAGAGATGATGAAATTTGCTTGTATTTGAACTGAGAATTGTTTGACTTTAAAAACTTTTTCCGTTGTGCTGTTTGACTACCATAAGCTCCAATTTCCTAATGTTCCTTTTAGGGTAGCTAGCTTTGCCTTTTGCAAAGATACATAGAATTAGTCAGATCACTATTTGTAGAGATGAATAGGACCCAGAATTAAAGTCCACTGTCAGTTTGTTTTCTGGTACCAAGGTGTATCTTGTCTTCATTTTTGAGAGATCTCAAGACTTTCCTTTCTCTTTGTTGGCATCTTCTGGATGTGGTAGAATATAACGAGATTTGAATGATTGCTTTGTTAATTGACTTTGTGCTTGTGTAGGGGGTGTAAGGATCGTTAGCTTATGGGATACATCAAAATGTGTTCTGGAGTAAAGATACTTCTATTGCTTTAAATATTGAGTACCCCCTGGACTTCAGAATACTTTTTCGTTATGAGATCAGTTATTTCCTTCTGGCTGAGCCAAGTACATGGAGAGCCTGAGACTTCTTATAAAGATGGGGGCAGTGGGAGGAGGGAATGATTTAATAATAGAAGGTAAAATAGGCTCTTTGACTTCTGATTCATTTAAATTTGCCTTGCACCCTTTCAAAGATAAGTGATCTTTAGGTCTGTCTTTAGGAGGATCTTTGACATGGCTTCTCCTCTACTGCCCTCAAGATGTCACACCTCCAGTCTTGAATGTTGCTTGCTTTTTGTTCACCAAGCTATCTTCTAAACTCATTTGAATATAGATTTTTTCCTTTGGTTGAGGCTACTGTTGAGACATTGGCTAGATGTCTTTTTAAATTCCCTGACCATTTGGCTATGAAATCTCCTTTTATATTTTAATTTATTTTACTTTGGAGACATTAGAACTGTCCTTCATCTCTTGGTGACTTTGTAGAAGCAGTGGGAACAGTTTGAGTAACAAAACAGTGTTTTTCATTTTTAGTTTGTTTTTGGGTATTTGATTTTTTTATTTTAACCACTGGCCAAAAAGAAAAAAAGTTCAGGGATTTGTTTTAGATACCGATAGGAAATCAGGCAGGCATGGATTTCCAGCCCTAGATTGCAAGTCTTGCTTGCTATTTTCAACAGGGATCTGGTTGGAAAATGGAATGAAAGGGGTAAAGTTTGTATTTATTTCTGCTGAAAAGAGAAAAGCAGATTTAGGTGGCTAGAATCAGAGATCTGATTTGTGGCTGAGTGAAATTATGTGTTGCTGCTGTCATCTTGTTAGCACTGGGTGTAGCTTCATACATTCCCATCACTGTTAATTTCACAATATGAACTTAACTTCGTGCATGATCTCTTTTTGTGTTTTCATGATAGAAAGCTTCAAATTCCCTGTTTGATTTAAAAATAAATTTAAACCTACCCTTAAAATATCCACAGGTACAGTGGGACTTATGTATTGGGGGCAAGCATTCTCATTTACAAGCAAAATTTCACTGGTTGTTTTTTCTTTTCTTTTCTTTTTTGTTTCAGGACTTGATTTCATTGGGGTTGAGGGGTCAAATTATCCCCGAAAATTTGAGACTGCTCCTGGTATGATACATCCAGGCGCCTAACTGCCCCGGATATTTTTATAGATTTTTATGGACTGAAATATCTGTGGATATGTCATTTTTCTGTCTTTTTCTCTTTCTGCCTTTTCTCTCATATTCTATGCCCATTTTCCTTCAAAAATTTGTTCACTCAATATTTAACATTTACAATGCTGCTGGAATAGAAATTCTAACCTGCTTGTTAGATCATTTCTACTCTTTATGTTCCTTAATGCTTCCTCAGTATAGTCTTTTCAGTCACGATCATACAGCTTCTATAGGGAAGTTTCAAGTAGGTATCTTCTTTCATCCCAGATGCAATTGCCAAGAATGCAGAAAAAAAAGTCCTGCATCATGAGGGGTTAGACTAGATAACTTCTTAGGTCCTTCCTACTCTGGGATTGTGTGTATGTGTTAACCCAGATTTTGGGTTTCATTTAGCCAGAGTGGAATGGATGTCAAAGGGGAGGAAGAGTGGTAATTTAACCCAGAGAGGGAGGAAGGAATGTAATTTATAACATGTCTAGATTGAGATTGGACTTTAGTGTGAGTTGGAGAAAATTTATTAAGTGGTTTGAAATTTTCCTGGTGCAGTTAAACATAGTCCTGGGAAAGTCATTACAATGAATACATTTTTCTCTAGAAAACAAGCTTTTAGTATTTAAAAGAGTTACGGATAGGTTTTGTAGGGAGTATGAATATTTCTCTTTAGTAACAATAAAATCTGTGAATGCTAGATTTTCATTCTTGTGAGAAGCTGTCTCCATTTGGAGAGAATGCTTTGAATTATTCAGCATGTACTGTTCTGCAGAAGAAGAAAAAGGATGTTCTTACCCATTCCACAGATAGGTTCTTAATTTTTATTTGGTCTCATAGAAACTTACCCAAATTCCTTTACAAAACAGTTTTCCTTTCTGAGGATATCTGTGTACATGAAACAAAATAAGGAGAATGTTGAAGGTGGTTTTATTGCCTGTGGATCTGTCCTGTACAAACTATCTTAATTTCATTATTAACAGCATGAGGAGAGTGCACACCTCCACTGTCTGCCGTGACCTTGGCAGTCAGACTTAAGATTCTGTATGACTAGGATTAGGACAATAATGTGTGTATTTGATTCTTTTCTTTTTTTCCACTTGCCCCCCTCCCCCCCAGGAGTTTTTTTATTTTTGTGTAGAAGAACTGGGGTGTGGGCAAGAGGTGCAGGGGGTGAGAGGATTCACCACAGACAGAATGGGGACCAGAACAGGCGGATCTACTGAAATACACTGCTGAGGGCGAGACAGGAGAGGTCTGCTGTGCCATGTAGGTTAGCTCCCTGGCCGGGGGTTGAACTCAGGCCATTTCAGTGGGCTTTTGTGTTGGTAGTGCTGAGACTTAACCCCTAGGCCACCAGGGAGGCCCTGTTTTTGATTCTTAAGTCTCATTCAGTATCTTCTGAAAAGAGCAAATCTATAGGGTTTCCTTTATAGTTAAATCAGTAAGATTATAAATTTGGCTTCTGTTGAGTATGCTTTTTTTTTTTTTAAAGATTTATTTATTTATGCATACAAGAGCTGGGGTACAGGCCAGAGGTATGGGGGGTGAGAGGATTCACCAGAGACACATTGGGGAACAGAACAGGCAGATTGACCAAAGTACACTGCTGAAGGGAGCAGCGGGCAAGTCAGGAAAGGTCTGCTGTGTCATGTGGGTTGCTCCCTGGCCAGCCGGGGATCGAACTCGTGCTGCAGAGGCTGTGGATTGCTTCATAGTGTGGTGCTTAACCCCTTGCACCACCAGGGAAGCCCGTGAGTGTGCGTTTTTAAATTTAGTTTCAGTAGTAGTCGTCAGTGCCCTCAGTTTGCATTTCAAGCCTTTTCTTCCTTCATTGCCTTTTCACTATCGTGTAGCAATCTTTTGTGTTCATATTATCACTGCCATCTTTCTTCAGACTACCTGCCATGTTGTCTTATACCAGATAAGTAGGTGTAGTTTGCATGTTTGAATTGACTGTTGCTATCTTACTTAATTGGCTACTAAATCTGAGGGCTGAGGGCATTAAAGAAACTGCCTGGCATATTTGGTCTGTTGGGGTCTTACTCTTGAGTTTTCTTACTCTTGCTCATTGCTATTAGAGCTGTGTAACAAAAACAAAGCTTCTGTGAAATTATAATCTTATTAAAACCCTGGTGCTCTGAGGTAGCCCTTTCTAAGTAATTTTTTCCTTGCTCTGAATACCAAGAATCTCTTCTGATTTCTAAATTCTGGTCATACTTTTGGCTGCCAAAGTGTTAATACCTAAGTGTTTTCTGCACATGCTATGTGCTGGAACTTATAATTGCTTCACTAGTTTTCCTTTATTCCCAGGTGCATGGAGGACTGCAACAGAGGAGTGGGGAACTGAAGATTGGAATGAAGATGTAGGTATTCCTAGGTCATTCCTCATTAGTGCTTTCTATCCCTAAGTGGTGTTTAGGGATAGAAAATGGATATGTTTCTACCCTTCAAAATTCACCCTTAAGATTCTGACCCAAAACTTTTACATCCAAAATAGTGTTCTGAGCCAGAACATTTCACATATGTTATATGAAGGAGACTGGGCATGAACAGGACTCTGTGGAACCAGACTATGGAAAGGGCAAGTGCACTTGTGTAAGTTCAATATCTGATTGTCGGATTTATTCCAGGAAAGAGCTGGTGGTTGGGTAGGGCACCAGAAATGGAACTAGACAGGTAGTGCATTGAGTAACAGCTGCTGATGGAACATGACTTTATTTACTCAGAGCAATTCTGTTATTTGATTCACATTGAGTATTGGTGTGTGGTCCTGTAATTGGCTTGGAGGTGGGTATAAAGTAGAAGTTAGAGTACCAAATCCTCAAGTTTAAAATCTGGTTGGCTCTAGAACCCTTATATTTATTCACAGCCCAACTTTTGTAATTGTAATGGAAATTATTGTAGAATTGGCTGTCTTCCAGCTTGACTCAACTTGGGAACATTGTAGATAGGTGGCACTTAAACAAGCTCTGTGAATTCACTGGAGTAGTACCTGAGTAAAAGAAATATGCTGATTTCTGGTCTCCCCAAGCTTATGCTGTGAATTATGGTTCATGAAGGAACTCCCATTTTAACATTTTTAAAATCTACTTTTCTATACTTGTATATATTCAGACAAGATCGCTTTTATGGTAGGAGGCGGTGATACTTCAAATTGATGTGGTTGCCAGGCCTGAATTTTTTAAATTACACATGCATCAGCATCCGAGGGGGATTATTTTCTATTGTAGTTGTGCTGGACTGCCTTATGAATATTTTCAAAGATTTAGCATTCTGCTTAAGCAACTTTCAGAGAATGATATATTGGGGGGGGGGTGAGGGGAGTGGATTCCCTAAGACACACACAAAAAAAACAAAACAAAATCAAATTTTCGAATAGTAGGAAGAGTTATTCCCTATAATTGCTTTATTTCATTTTGGTGTCTTAGAGAGACTCGTGTAATACGGTCACTATGAAGCAGAAGTTGCAAATAGTTTAAATTATCCATGAAAAGATCTTAACTCACCAGTGCCTTGGCCTTTTTCTGCTCAAAAGCCAAGAATTAACTTACTGAAGATAAAGTATGACTTGGGAGGGAGGGAGTTGGAGTTGGAAACTAAAATGGGAAAATATTAAGGGGTTTTCTCTATTTTTCTGTCCAGCTTATACATTAGCTTTCCCAAGTTCTGTGTGCATATGATGTGACTCCACTGTATATTACTGGTTCCTTGATTCTATCTCTTGAGAAAACCATAAGCATATAATAGGGTTTGAAGGTCTCACTCATTCATGGGTTCTCAGGGTAGATCTCTCTTCTAAGAATTTTCCCTTTTTCTCGATGTTGAATTACCCTTACCTGTGCCAGCTTTCTGACTGTAACTTACCTAACACCAGGAGTGACTAATTCTTCTGTTTTCCAGCTTTCTGAGACCAAGATCTTCACTGCCTCTAATGTGTCTTCAGTGCCTCTGCCTGCAGAGAATGTGACAATCACTGCTGGTCAGAGGCAAGTGTGTGGTAAAATTCAGTATATTTTTCCAAAGGGTTCTACTGAGATAGTTATTAGGATGAGTGGCACTAGGGCTTTACAGACTTCTATAATGTTGGTAATAATTGGTAACCAAATCACATTTGCTTTCTTTTTTAGTTAATTGATAAATTTATGAGTTGGTAAGAGTTAATCTACTGAATGGAAGTTCAGATGTTACCATTTAAAAGCTGATTCTCCCCTAAGTAACCCTTTAATTACATAGGTTAGCCTGTTGGCATCACTGGCATTAACTGAAATGTAACACAACAGAAGTTATGTTAAGTCAGGCAAAGAAAATCCACAAGTGGAAGTGTCTTCAATTATTTTTGAGTTTGCAGAACTGTTTAACAGTTTATTGGCTTGCTTTATCTGCAGAACCAATCAGTGATCCTTTTTATTCTTTGGATCATTGAGATGAACTTACTAGAATTTGAACCTTGGTATTGGGGTTAATGGAGGCAGATACACTCATAAGGGATTATTTTTGTTCCCTGAAAGTTTCTAGACTTGGATATACAACTGTTAACAACTCAGAAGGTCCAAAAGAGAAGTGTGATAGGAATGGGATATTAGAGATGTCATTACCAGACGTATTGTGTTTTTTTTCCCCCCTGACATGGCATATGTGTCATTTTTTTCCACACCAATTTGGCAGTTCTCTGACACCCAACTAGGTGTCGAACAATTCAATGCAGTTCTGACACTGAGTAGCCAGAGTTAGTGCACACTTATGTTGATAGCTTCGTTCCACAAGACTGACCCTACTTTATCAGTCACCTCTAAATAGGTGCCCTGGCCTGACACACTTCTGACCAGGTGACTACAAATTCGGGAGTTCTCATAACTCTCCTCTCTCCAGGTTCAGTAGTTTGCTAGAACTATTCACAGAACTCAAAAAATTGCTATTACTGGTTTATTGTGATTGGCACTCAGAAACAGCCATATGTAAGTGATGGATGTATAAAAGATTCGGACAGGATTATCTGAATCTTTTTATAAAAGTTAGTGGGGTGAGTGATAGAGCTTCTGTATTCTCTCTGGACATGTTACCTGTCTAACACATGGATGTTTCATCAACTTGGAAACTGAATCTCATTGTTGAAAAGTTTTTGTCAAAGCTCCATAATGTAGGCATGGCTGATTAAATCATTTATTGTTGAGCTTAGTCTCCAGCTCCCCTCTTTCCCTAGAAGTAGATAGATTGGTGGGGCTGAAAGTTCTAGCTCTTAGTGTTTCTCAACACAGTGTGTTTTGGGTTATTGACCCCATCCTGAATAACCTCATTAGCATAAACCATGGTTAAAGAGGGCTCCTTGTATATTTATTTCTACCTGCCCCCCAACACCATCCCTTAAATCACCTTAATCCTTTCTTCCCTCCTGTCTCCTCCTTAATCTCAGAGCCCTCATGTTATTTATTAATGTCTGCCAGTTTTTGTATTTTACTTCTTTAAATTATCCACTATGCAAGAGTCCAGTATTAGTCTTTGTAATTTTTACTTGCTTTACTACACATAATTCCTTCGAACTCTTTCCTTCTATTTTGCTGTAAATGGCAGCCTTTTGTCTTTCCTTATGATCAAGTGATATCACATAGCACGGATATATCACATCTTTTTGATCCAGTCCTCTGTCATTGAGCATGTACATTGTTTCCATGTCCTAGTTGTTGTAAATTGTGTTGCAGTAAACATTGTAGGGCATATAGTTTTTTGATTAATGGTTTCATGTTCTTAGGCTGGATGCCCAAGAGTGGGATTGCTGGGTCATACGGTATTTCCATTTTTAGTTTTTTAAGGTAAATCTGGTTTACTTTTCATAATGGTTGGACCAGGTTACATTCCTGTCAACAGTTTGATGGGGTTCCTCTTTCTCCTCATCTTCTTGTAGGGGGTCTTCTTAATATTTGGTATTCTCACAGGTGTCAGATAGTATCATTGTTTCTTTAACAGCTTTCAGTGGAAGTGAAAGAGTGGTGATGAACATTTTTCATGTGTCTATTGGCATAGTAGGTAGCCTTTTTGGTGAATTGTCTGTTCATATATACTGACCATTTACTAAATGGGTTTTTATCTTGGATAGTAACCCCTTGTTGGCTATATAGTGTGTGACTATTTTCTCTCATTAAGTAGGATATCTTTTTAATCTTGTATTTTTTCTATGTAAAAGCTTTTTAACTTGAGGTAAGGCCAGTTGTTTATTTTTGCTTTTATTTTCCTTAAGTCTCCAAAAACATCTTTTTTTTTTTTTTAAATAGAGGCATGTTTTATTTACCTATTTATTTGTTTGTTTGCTTTCTTTCTTTCTTTTTTTTTTTTTTTTTTACATGCACTGGGTACAGTCAGAAGCGCGGGAGGGCAAGAGAATTCACCAGAGCCAGAGCGGGGAGCAGAACAGGCAGAAGGACCGAAGTACACTGCTGAGGGGAGCAGCGGGTGGCAGGAGAGGTCTGCACACCATGTGGGACCCTCCTCCGGTGGCCGGGGAGCAGCCAGGGATTGAACCGGCGCCGCAGAGGCTGCGGGCAGCCTCGCAACCCAGCGCTTAACCGCTGCGCCACCGGGGAGGCCCCTCCAAAAACATCTTAATTGTTGATGTCATAGGATATCCTGCCAATGTTTTGTATATTTTTTGTTATTGTTTTATCTGCCTTTTTAAAAAGATTTATTTATTTATGCAAGAACTGGGGTACAGGCCAGATGCGCGGGAGGGTGAGAGGATTCACCAGAGACAGAGTAGGGTACAGAACAGGCAGACTGACGAAATACACTGCTGAGGGGAGCAGCAGGCGAGACAGGAGAGGTCGGGTGAGAAAGGAGAGGTCTGCCGTGCCATGTGGGACTCTCGCCAGCCAGCCAGGATCAAACCCAGTGCTGCAGAAGCTGCAGACAGCTTCACAACCCTGCGTTCAACTGCCTGCGCCACCAGGGGCGGCCCCTATATCTAAATCTTTAATCCATTTGGAATTTATTTTTGTGTAAGGAGTTAGAGAATGATCCAACTTTATTTTTTCATGTGTGGCCTTCCAGGTTTCCAAGCACCATTTATTAAAAGAGGCTCTCTTTTTCCCCATAGTTTGGTGGTGGCTGCTTTCACAATTAGGTACTGATATGTATGTGGACTTATTTTTGGGCTTTCTATTCTATTCCGTTGATCCATGTGCCTATTTTTGTGTCTACATATTTTTTGTGAACATTTATTTATTTATTTATTTATTTATTTATTTATTTATTTATTTAGGTGCCGCAGGTAACTTGGATTTTATAAAGCTTTGGGAAAACTTTCCCAGATCCTTTGTTCCAAAGCCATTTGAGATGCCAGTTTTCAAGTATACAGCTTAGATATCTGTTCTGTTTTCTTTCAAGATTTATTTATGTATACAAGAAGTGGGATATAAGGCCAAAGGTGCAGGGGGTGAGAGGATTCATCAGAGCCACAGAGGGGAACAGAACAGGCAGACGGACTGGTACACTGCTGAGGGGACCAGCAGGCGAGACAGTAGAGGTCTTCTTCCCCATGTGGGTCAGCCTCTGCCTGCAGATAGCTGCATAGTGCTGAGACTTAACCCCTTTTGCCACTAGGGAGGCCCTCATTTCACCAAAATTTTTACCTTCGTTAAGATTGACAACATTGTTGGAATATGACTGTAGATAATATGGTGACTCTTATTTATCACTTTGGTAAATCAAGTATTTTAGGGCTTTGTGTTTCTGGGGGAGTAACTTCTTTTTGATCTAACCATAGTCTGAGTCAGATGTTGGTTCAGAATACTAGCATTATTCATTAAGCTCTTGCATTTCTTCACTAGAATTGACCTTGCTGTTCTGTTGGGGAAGACACCATCTTCAATTGAGAATGATTCCTCTAATATGGATCCATCTCAGGCTCCTTCTCTTGCCCAGCCTCTGGTGTTCAGTAACTCGAAGCAGAGTACTATGTCACAGCCTGCTTCAGGGAACACATTTTCTCATCATAATATGGTAAGTGGGAAACATGGTGTATCCTACTCAAACTTGCCTGGTGACTCTAGCACACATATATAAAGTAATTCCTTCTAGTGACAGTGAAAAGTTTGTAGCAGGATAAAACAACTGTCCTATTATGCAACTTCAGTGTAGAGAAATTGAGTTAGATAGGGGATAGTTCTAAGAGAGAACTTAGAACTAGCTTATAAAAATGAGTTAACCATTTATTGAATATCCATTGTTCAAACAGTTGTTTGCTATCACGCTTGAAGAGGAAAAATCAATACCATCAACAAATTTTGAAGCAAAATTGCCATATATGTTTATTGAAACCAGCCATTTCTTGACTAGGCTTCCAAACACTTGGGGACTTCCTGAATCAGCACGCCTCCTACCTCTTTCTTTTTTTCTCTTTAAGCGTTAAGAATAGGGGTAAGTTTGTTCACTGTGCCTATCTTATAAGACTTTAGGAAGACAAATAAGAAATCAGATAAGGACTATATAACTGAGGTGTAAGTAGTGATATAATTTATTAATAACTTAGGGCATATAAGTCATGTGACTTGGTTCAGAACATTAAAAAAATGAGAGCTGGGGTATAGGCCAGAGGTGTGGGGGGTGAGAGGATTCACCAGAGACAAAGTGGGGAGCAGAAAAGGCCAATCTACTGAAATACACTTCTATGGGGAGCAGCAGGCGAGACAGGAGAGGTCTGTTGCAACATGTGGGTCAGTTCCTGGCCGGGGGTTGAACTCCTGCTTCAGTGGCTGTGGATAGCTTCACAGTGCTGAGACGTAATCCCTTGTACCACCAGGGAGGCCCATTAATTATTCAAAAGAAATTATTTAGACTAAGTGAAGATGATGCAAGGACCCATTTTCTTATAGTCAGTACATCCTAAGAACTGCTTTTTTTTAAAAAAACTCTTTGTTTTGTCAATTTTTTTAAAATTTATTTATTTATTTTTTATAGAGGCATGTTTTATTTATTTATTTATTTGTTTGATGGTTTGTTTATACATGCACTGGGTACAGTCAGAAGCGTGGGAGGGTGAGAGAATTCACCAGAGCCAGAGCAGGGTGCAGAGCAGGCAGAAGGACCAAAGTACACTGCTGAGGGGAGCAGCAGGCGGCAGGAGAGGTCTGCGCGCCATGTGGCACCCTCCTCCGGTGGCCGGGGAGCAGCCGGGGATTGAACCGGTGCCGCAGAGGCCGCGGGCAGCTTCGCAACCCAGCGCTCAACCGCTGCGCCACCGGGGAGGCCCTGTTTTGTCAATTTTTGATGGAGGGTATGTTATAATTTTAAGGCTGTGTGTGCATTCAATTTTATTTTTCCTAGTAATTTTATTTTATTTTATTTTTTTTAAAGATTATTTATTTATTTATACAAGCACGGGGTACAGTCAGAAGCAAGGGAGGGTGAGAGAATTCACCAGAGCCAGAGAGGAGAGCAGAACAGGCAGAATGACGAAGTACACTGCTGAGGGGAGCAGTGGGCGTGGCAGGAGAGGTCTGCGCACCATGTGGGACCCTCACCAGCGGCCGGGAATCAAACCAGTGCTGCGGAGGCTGCGGGCAGCTTCGCAGCCCAGCGCTCAACTGCTGCGCCACCGGGGAGGCCCAGTAATTTTATTTTTAAAGATTTATTTATTTATGCATACAAGAGCTGGGGTGTAGGCCAGAGGTGTGGGAGTTGAGAGGATTCACCAGGGACAGAGTGGGGAACAGAACACCAGACTGACTGAAATACACTGCTGAGGGGTGCAGCGGGCGAGACAGGAGAGGTCTGCTGCACCATGTGGGTAGCTCCCTGGCTGGCTGGGAATTGAACTCGTGCTGCAGAGGTTGCAGACAGTTTTACAGTGCTGTGCTTAACCTACTGCGCCACCAGGGAGGACCTTTCCTTGTAATTATTTTAACTAGAAAACTACTGAGCTAATCTCTAATCCAGAACTCTTGTCAGTTTTTAACCGTTAAAGTGGTTTTTTGTGTTAATTATAATTTGGTGGTTGATATTCTGCCATATATGAAAGGTGACAGGTAAGAAAAGGTGGGGGGGAAGGGAAAAGGAGTGGAATGTTGACATAAAAAAGAAGAAATAAAGTGGGACAAAGATTGTAAGAAGGTGTAACAAATACCAGGAAATTACCAACCCCTAATATTGGATAATGTACTTAGATGCCCTGTGTCTTTTTTTTTTTTTTTTTAAGATTTTATTTGTTTATGTATACAAGAACTGAGGTGTAGGCCAGAGGTATGGGGGACTGGGGGAGGTAAGAGGATTCACCAAAGACAGAGTTGAGGAGCAGAACAGGCAGATCTACTAAATACACTGCAGAGGGGAGCAGCGGACGAGACAAGAGAGGTCTGCGCCAGCTCCCTGGCTAGGGATTGGGGATCGAACTCAGGCTGCAGTGGCTGGTAGTAGCTTGATAGCGCTGAGACTTTAACCCCTATACCACCAGGGAGGCTCTCCTGTGTCTCTCTTAATGTCTGAAATTCTGAATATTTACAACCAGATTCAAATTCTGATATGAAATTTGTTTTCAGCATACTTGCACTTAATTTTAACATTTTATTTAATGTTTGTCACCTGTCACAGTTTAGTAAATTCTGTGCATTCTCATTGCTTATATTGATCAGTATGCTGATCAATTTATGTTAATTTGAACAAACTGATTTTTAATAAGAAAACACTCTAGATGGATGTGAGGATGATATTGTCAAATAAACCTCTGGAAAACCAGGTTAAATCTTGTTGGAAATTTTTGGAATAGTTAGGGCTACATGGTTCATCTGCATTGAGCAGGCAGTTTTTACTTGGTATTGGGTACTGGGGGAGATCCTCTAAAAACTAAGTTTTACACTGAGAAAACTGTGAAATCATATTGACTCATTGTTTGGTCTAAAAGTTGTGTGTTTAACTTCTTTTTCTCTGCTAGTTACTAGCAGCATTGAGTAGAGGCTCCAGTTAGTTATTTTCATTTCTTTTGAGCTGTTTAGAGAAAGTGACATTAAATGGCTAAAGTGAAAGTGAAATTTCATGTTATCTTCATGTTAATTTAGTAGTTGCGTATTTGTTGATTTAAAACTTCTATACAGGGAATTACCTAGTCATTAGCGCCATATCCCAGGGAAGGGAAGGGAAGGTAGTGATGGTATAAATTTAAATACTGTATCATGCATATATTGAAATTCTTTGTATACATTATGTTTAATTTTTCTAAACTTCATGAAGTATTACTTTCCTTTTCAATGAGGTAAATGAATTACAGAGAAATTACAATTAATTTTTCTACAACTGCATAGGATTTGAATCTAGACAGTCTGACTTCATAGTGTGTACTATAATGGACCTGCCGTATACTTAGCTTAGTGACATTCTTTATTTGTCTGAACTGTACGGGCTTTCATTCTGTGTAGTATGTTTCTGAACAGGGTTGTGGCTGTAGATTACTCTAATCTCTGTATTGATCTACAGGTGAGCATGTTAGGGAAAGGATTTGGTGATGTTGGTGAAGCTAAAGGCAGCAGCACCACTGGCTCCCAGTTCTTGGAGCAATTCAAGACTGCTCAGGCCCTGGCTCAGTTGGCAGCTCAGCATTCTCAGTCTGGAACCGCCACCACCTCCTCTTGGGACATGGGCTCCAACACGCAGTCCCCGTCGTTGGTGCAGTATGGTGAGAAAGATGGAAAGTTACTTGCATTCTTTAAGCATCAGAGCATTACAGTCAAGAGGCTAGCAGAAGTAGTAGCGGGTGGAGGATGTGTCCTTTTTTGAGAAGGGCAACTAATTGATAAATTGACTGCCCTTCGATAGGCAGAGTTCAGAAAGCTGGCAAATAATAAAAAGTTGAAGCTATAAATTTTCTTCCATCAAATTTATATATGTGTGTGTGTATATATGTGTATATATATATATACACACACACACACTCATATATATAGTTGCATTTTTCTGTTGATCGGGGGATATTTTGGAGTCTTCCTAGGTTTAGCTTTGGTGTTTCAGAAGAACACATTGCCCCGGAAGGATCCATGTCTACTTGGCCTTTTAGGACTACATACTCTAAAAATGGAAAGTTTTTAGATTCCTTTCTTAGAACAGGCAGCGTAATAATAGCATTGATTTGATTAGACTCTACATGAGAACAAATATGATCCTGAAGATTGTCACAGAAATGAGATTATCGTCTAATGTCTATAATCTATATGAGGTTTTGATTCCTGAGGGCCTACTTCATAACTCTAGAGCAGGATAATAGCATTTTCTTTAGGTTCACTAGCACTTCTGGCCTCATGCATATGGTTTCCTCTTGCAGATTTGAAGAACTCAAATGATTCAGCAGTGCACAGTCCTTTTACAAAACGCCAGGCTTTCACCCCATCTTCAACCATGATGGAAGTGTTCCTTCAGGAGAAGCCATCTTCAGTGGCTACTTCCACAGCTGCACCTCCACCCCCATCTTCTCCTCTGCCAAGCAAATCCACCTCGGCTCCACAAATGTCTCCTGGGTCTTCAGACAACCAATCCTCCAGCCCTCAGCCGGCTCAGCAAAAACTGAAACAGCAGAAGAAGAAAGCCTCCTTGACTTCTAAGGTACTTGAACTGTAAGATATTATTACCTTTAGGGCAAGGAGGATGGGGTATAGGATTTGATGATTGAGATTATAGGGATATGGTTTGGACAGTTGAAATGTTTGAAGCAAGCATTTTTTAAGCCTGTAAGATTACAATAAACCATTGTTTTCTTTACAATAGATTCCTGCTCTGGCTGTGGAGATGCCTGGCTCAGCAGATATCTCAGGGCTAAACCTGCAGTTTGGGGCATTGCAGTTTGGGTCAGAGCCTGTCCTTTCTGATTATGAGTCCACCCCCACCACGAGCGCCTCTTCAAGCCAGGCTCCAAGTAGCCTCTATACCAGCACGGCCAGGTAGAGGAAACATCTGTCATAAGACTTCTTTAATTAGGCCTTAACCACTTTTTCTCTTGCTGATTCTTGGAACTCTGGAGAGGCCAAACCTCTAAGTAAGGGAAAAGTAACCATTTACAGCATTTTGTTGAGTCCTTTAAAACATTGTTACTAGGATTATGTATAAATATGAACCAAATAGAAATAATACCCCTTGAGTACTTCTAGGATATCCAAGCACAGTTTTTGGTGATGTATTCCACACCCCTAATGTACCTTGGAGTCTGCTGCAGCTAAAAGTTGATTTTGACACTCTTTTTAGCCCTTTAGTATAGAGCTTATGCCTATGAAGATTATAAGTTTGAACCCATAGGAAGGGAAGTAGCATTAATAAATTACACAAATTAACAGGATCCTTTCCAGTGGAAGCTTTTCCTCCTCCTCTAGATTTATCAGGAAGGCCGTTTTTTTTTTTTTTTTTAAGATTTATTTATTTATGCATACAAGAGCTGGGGCACAGGCCAGAGATGCAGGGGGTGAGAGGATCCACCAGAGACAGAGCAGGGAACAGAACAGGCAGATTGACTGAAATACACTTCTGAGGGTAGCAGTGGGTGAGACAGGAGAGGTCTGCTGCGCCATATGGGTTTCTCCCTGGCTGGCCGGGGATCGAACTTGTGCTGCGGAGGCTGTGGATTGCTTCATAGTGTGGTGCTTAACCCTTTGCGCCACCAGGGAGGCCCAGGAAGGCCGTTTTAAATAGTATAAAATCCTGGAGGAATTTCAGGGATTAGACTTTTTCTTAATCCTTAGAATTTAAAAATACAGATGGCTGATCTTTGCCTAGCTTTATTGAATTATAATTACCACTAATGCATGTGAGTATTTAAAAGTCCCTCTCAGAAGAGTTCTTCCAGTAAGTAATTTTAAATCTAGTAGGGTTTTGAGAGTTCTTGGAACATTTCTTAAAAGAATTGTAAGCAAAAAGTGACTCTTCCCTTGCTTAGGGTTTATATTATGATGTATTAAAGGAGCCAAAGTAGTACATCCTTTGTATTGACCTTTAGCCTCTTTTTTTCTTACACAGCAGAATGTAGGGGAACTTTTTTTTTTCTTACTTTATAAGTTTTTAAGCTCCATTTTAAATTCATGACCCTGTTTCTAGGGGATATGGAAATTGTTTCTGTTGTCTGGAAAAACTTCGCAGCTTTTTTTAACTTGTTACTGGAAAACTTCTTTCTGGTTGTAATCAGCTTACTCTAGTTGTAGCTATCCATGATTGCATTAGTATCAGTGGCTCTGCTCTGTTTTGTTTCTCTGAGATTTTCCTTCTCCATTCCCTACAGTGAATCTTCATCCACAATTTCATCTAACCAGAGTCAGGAATCCGGTTATCAGAGTGGCCCAATTCAGTCGACAACCTATACCTCCCAAAATAATGCTCAGGGCCCTCTATATGAACAGAGATCCACACAGACTCGGCGGTACCCCAGCTCCATCTCTTCATCACCCCAAAAGGACCTGACTCAGGCAAAGGTAGTAGCTTCATGAGGTCCTGGGCATTTATTCATTGCCGACGAACCCCTTAAATTAGTGTTTTAGGTCTTGACAAATGGTGCTAGGAAGCCTCAGAAGTGCTAATGAAAAATTGGAAAAATACATTTTTGTGGTTGATGAAATTTTGAAAGTTGTTTTCATCTGTCTGGAAGCTCAGCCGGAAAGCCATTGTCTTTGCATTTAAAGATTGTCTCTAGTAGAATCAGTCTCAAGTACCCGTCATCTCTTCTTGGAAAATCTGATTGCTTAGACTTCTGCCTGCATATCAGTAGACCTCACCTTGCTATGCCTTGACTTGGTGAGGGGAACAGCATATGCCAAAGGTGATGTGGAGTGACTGTCAGATGGAGCCAACACAATGTTTTGGCTGAACTGTCTTACTGCCACATACTACCTCAAATATCACTGGATTTGGACTTGGGCCTTTTCTATATCTGTTTTGGGTTTGGGGCTTCTTCAGTTTGGGTGTTGCCTTTGGTTGTGCAAGTGGCATATAGCTAGTTTTTATTTTTAATTTTTGTTTTTTGGTTATTTGAATAATCTGTATTATGTTAAGTTAACCCTTTGGTTAACTGCAGTCTCTCAGAAAGTTTGTTGACTGAAATTAAGCTCAGATAGTACTAACATGGCATGTTCACTTGAGTTTTCTTACTCCTTGTGTACCAGAATGGCTTCAGTTCTGTGCAGGCCACGCAGTTACAGACCACACAATCTGTTGAAGGTGAGTATTCAGGCTTTTTCCTCTCATTTGTTCTCTCACCTTTGAGCATTTTTGCATTTCTTAGATTGTAGTGAAAAGAGCCCTGGTTCAATGATCAAAACTTCTGGTTATAGTCTTGACTTGGTTCTACTTAGCTTTAAAATGGAGAATCTGAAATTCATGATAGTTTTAGATTAAACAGCAAAGTAGAACTATCATGAATTTCAGATTCTCCATTTTAAAGCTATGACAATCCCCTTAGTTCCCTTAACTGGACAAATGAGATCAGTGCTGTGAATGTTTGGAATGTGAAAAAAATGATTCTACCCAAACACAAATGCTTCATTATTAAATTACACACATCCTAGTTTTGGGGGCAGCCTAAGACTTGTCTCCTCTTCTGCTTTTTGTAAACACTGCCTTTCCTCTAATGGGGTGAATTCCTTTCTTTATTTCCAGGTGCTACAGGCTCTGCAGTGAAATCTGACTCACCTTCCACTTCTAGCATCCCCCCTCTCAGTGAAACGGTATCTGCAGCTTCCTTACTGACGACAACCAATCAGCACTCATCCTCTTTGGGTGGCTTGAGCCACAATGAGGAGATTCCAAATACTACCACCACACAACATAGCAGGTGATTTGTGGTGGGGGTGGAGCTTGGGGTCATTAAGTAGCAATAGCAGCTTTCTGGTTCTGTCTTACTCTCTTTGCCTGAAGAGACAGCATTAACTAAGTGAATGACCTCAAAGAGAGGGGAGACAGAGTAGGTTTATTTGCCTTTTTCAACATTCATTCTTGGTTTAGCTACTCCCTGTTTCCCCCTTCCCACCCATGTTGTTGTGCTTTCCGTATGATCGCCTTGATTCCATTGCCTTATCTCCTTGCTTGTGTTCTTTACTGAAGCTTTAGGTCTGGTAACTATAGCATTGAGTGACTGAGGGCAACCTCTTTTTTTCCTGACAGCACGTTATCTACTCAGCAGAATACCCTTTCATCATCAACATCTTCTGGGCGCACGTCGACATCCACTCTTCTGGTAAGTTGATGCTGTAAAAGAGAAAGTACAGTTTTATTTCTCTTACAACTACACAGCCATAAGGTTCTCCCATGAGGGGTTTCTTAAAAATTATTTAAGAAATGATAATTGGGGCCTCTCTGGTGTACTAGGGGTTAAGTCTCAGCACTGTCACCAGTGGCCCACTCAGATGGCCTGAGTTCGATCTCCAGCCAGGGAGCTAACCCACATGGTGCAACAGACCTCTCCTGTCTTACCTGCTGCTCGCCTCAGCAGTGTATTTCAGTAGATGCACCTGTTCTACTCCCCACACTATTTCTGGTGAATCCTTTCACATACAAACTAGCGGCCCCCCCACCCCCACCCCCGTACCTCTGGCCTACACTGCAGTACTTATATGCCATAAATAAAATACATCTTTAAAAGAAATGAAAAATTGGTGTGAGGTTGCAAGAAATGAGTAAAAGGGTATTGGAAAGCCGAGAAAGGTGTAAGAATCCAGAAATATAGATTTGTGGGCCATTTCTCAAATTCTTGCTAGTAACTTTCCTGAATCTTTATGTGGTCCTTTTATTTTTGTCTCCTGCTGAAGATGGTTTTAATTGTATGCTATGGTAAATTCCATAAGAACAAAATCTTTCTAGCTGGTATAAACATTCTTATTCCTTGGTCTGGGGTATGCTGAATATGAATCTTTAAAATATTCAGTGCAAGTGCCAGTATCCTTATGAAAGTAGAGATAAGATGAGAACTTTTGGTCAATGAATTTTATTGTTGTGAAATTATAACAACTTATTTGTGGAATTAGCTGGGTTTGTGAGAAAGACAACTTAAACAGGATCCATTCTGGATAAATGCATTTAGTTTGCCAGAAGCCTAGGAGAAAATAATGCGGACTAAGTTTTTATTTGGAGTCTATCTTTCCTTAAATATACCCCATGAATTAAAAAAAATTTTTTTGAAAAATTTATTTATTATGCATACAAGAACTGGGGTGTAGGCCAGAAGTGCGGGCGGGAGTGGTGAGAGGATTCACCAGAGACAGAGTGAGTGGGGAGCAGAACAGACAGATCTGCTGAAATACACTTTTGAGGGAGGCAATGGGCGAGACAGGAGAAGTCTGCTGTGCCATGTGGGCCAACTCCCTGGTGGGGGATCAAACTCATGTAGTGGCTGATGATAGCTCAATTGTACTGAGACCCCAACTTTTTTTTTAAAGATTATTTATTTATTTATACATACATACATACATACATACATACATACATACATACAAGCACTGGGTACAGTCAGAATCCCGGGAGGGTGAGAGAATTCACCAGAGCCAGAGCAGGGAGCAGAGCAGGCAGAGGGACGGAAGTACACTGCTGAGGGGAGCAGCGGGCGGCAGGAGAGGTCTGCGCGCCATGTGGGACTCTCCTCCGGTGGCCAGGGAGCAGCCGGGGATCTTACTGGCGCTGCAGAGGCTGCAGGCAGCTTTGCAACCCAGCGCTCAACCGCTGCGCCACAGGGGAGGCCCAAGACCCCTACTTCTGCACCACTGGGAAGGCCCTGAATTGTGGTTTTGGTTTTTTTGTGGGGGTGGGGGGGGTGCTGAGCTGGTAAAGAAGAATGTAGGTAGAAAGACCTATTTTTCAAATCTAAATGAGCTCTTTCTTTACTGGCCAATAAGTGTTGGTTTTGAGGGAATTTGTCCCCATGTGTTCTCTTTATGAACAAAGTAATGATGTATGTGGGTCTTATTACCATCCTTGCCAGATTACTTACTGTTGGAAATGTGTAGTTGGAGAACACTTAGTAATTTAGCAGATGGCACCTTGGTACCCTGTCTTTTTTCTTTCTTTTTTTTTTTTTTTAAGATTGATTTATTTATACAAGAACCATGGTACAGGCCAGATGTGCGGGAGGGTGAGAAGATTCACCAGAGACAGAGCGAGGCACAGAACAGGCAGACTGACTGAAATACACTGCTGAGGGGAGCAGTGGGTGAGACAGGAGAGGTCTGATGCTCTATGTGGGTTGCTCCGCTGCTGGCAGGGATCAAATCAGCACTGCAGAGGCTGCGGACAGCTTCACAGCGCTGCACTCAACCGCTTGCACTACCAGGGAGGCCCCTTGGTACCCTGACTTGCCTTTGTAATTAGGGGGTTGACTTGATGATATGAACAACCAATGGGATTGTGTATCTTTTCTGCTCTGGTAAGCTAATCACTATTTCCTCACGTTTTCTACTGCTCCCCCTAATTGAAGCACACAAGCGTGGAGAGTGAGGCGAATCTCCATTCTTCCTCCAGCACTTTCTCAACCACATCCAGCACAGTCTCTGCACCTCCCCCAGTGGTCAGTGTCTCCTCCAGTCTGAATAGTGGCAGTAACCTGGGCCTCAGCCTAGGCAGTAACTCCACTGTCACAGCCTCTACTCGAAGCTCAGTTGCTACGACTTCAGGTAACCTTGACTAGAAAGTTGATGGCATTCTTTTGGGATGAAGGAAAGAAATAATTGTGTGACTGGACAAAAATGTAATTTTTCTTTTAGGAAAAGCTCCTCCCAACCTCCCTCCTGGGGTCCCGCCATTGTTGCCTAATCCATATATTATGGCTCCAGGGCTGTTACATGCCTACCCGGTAAGTGATACATAAAGTGAAAGTGGTGTGGCTACTCTTTATACTCCTTTCTTCAGGTGGAAGACTGTAGTTAAAATACAGAGTAAGTGGACAGAAAATACCCACTAGCGCTTTACACTTTTTTTTTTAAGCAACACTACTTTAGTACCCAGACATTAGAGAAAGTAAGAGTACAATGTGACTTTGTGAAGGAGACAAATTTCAAGCTTGTTTGAAGCCTGTAAGAGACAAAGATAGATGGACTAGACAGGAAAGCAGGCTGTTCTCATATATGACCTTTGTCTACCCTACTGCTCCCCAGAAGGGCAGGCTGGTTGAGTTGAATCAGTAGTACTTGAAGGTAAGCTTCAAGACCTTTCATGAATCATTTAATCCCTTTGTACTTCACTTCTTTCTCTTTAGAAAAAACTGAAGGAAATAATCTACATTCCGTTTTTTTTTTTTGTTTGTTTGTTTGTTTTTTTAAGAGCAAGGATGGATGAATGTTCTGTTGCTTTATCTTGTGTGTTAGCTTCTTGGTTTGTTACTATCATCATGAGTAGACCCCATTAATACTGTCACATGTTTGTCTCTTTCAGCCGCAAGTATATGGTTATGATGACTTACAGATGCTTCAGACAAGATTTCCATTGGTGAGTATGTGATGTAGAGCTTTGGAAAAGCACAATCTTAAAATTAGTGTTCAAATGTTCAGTTGACAAGTAACAGGCTTAGCTCTTCACCAACCCATACCTCCATATACATACTTTGCTTTTAGATATATTAGAATATGGGGCATGGCTGGACCTCCCTGGTGGCGCAAGGGGTTAAATGCAACACTATGAAGCTGTCCACAGCCTCTGCAGCATGAGTTCGATCCCCCAGCCAGCCAGCCAGGGAGCTACCCACATGGTGCAGCAGACCTCTCCTGACTGAACCGCTGCTACCCTCAGCAGTGTATTTCAGGAGATCTGCCTGTTTTGCTCCCCACTCTATCTCTGATGAATCCTCTCACCACCACCACCGCCTGCCCCCGGCACCTCGGGCCTGTATCCCCAGTTCTTGTATGCATAAATAAATAAATCTTTTTTTTTTTAAGAGATTGTTTTCCTCAACTCATAGCTCATAGACAGCATATTCCTGAAGGTTTTTTTTTTGTTTTTGTTTTTAAAGATTTATTTATTTATTTATTTATTTATGCAAGCACTGGGTAGAGTCAGAAGGTGGAGAATTCAGTCAGGAGGGTGAGAGAATTCACCAGAGCCAGAGTGGGGAGCAGAACAGGCAAACTGATGAAGTACACTGCTGAGGGGAGCAGTGGGCATGGCAGGAGAGATCTGTGCACTATTTGGGACCCTCACTGGCGGCCCAGGATTGAACCGGCGCTGCAGAGGCTGCGGGCAGCCTCGCTGCCCAGCGCTCAACTGCTGCGCCACCAGGAGGCCCAAAAACCAATTTTAACCTAATCTGTAGCTCAGTAGATTACTCTGAAGCTCATGCAATGCTTTGCTATATGTCTAAAACACTTTGAATTCCAGAAAGAAAGACCTATAGTAATAATAGTCTTTTAGGAATAAGATACAGTGGGTTGAGGATACTGTTGCCTCTGATGGGCTTGATGTGTTTCCCAGTGGGCATACCCGTAGACCTTGTCTGACTGTACTCATGGCCAGACAGGGGGGACAGTGTATGCAAGAGTAATTTGGAGTTCATGCATGCTCTACCCTGCTTAATTAGTGGCTGGATATATTGCAGTACTCCAACACTCTTCTTCTTACCCTTTGGAGTTATTCTTGATGGGGAATGAGTGGCATCAAGTCTCTGTTCTTTCATTTCTCTTCTAGGATTACTACAGCATCCCATTTCCCACACCTACCACTCCGCTGACTGGGAGGGATGGTAGCCTGGCCAGCAACCCCTATTCTGGTAGGACTGAGAATGGGGCTAAATAAAGGGTCAGTCTGAATAAAGGACTGACCTGAATTGTTTTGGGATTGGTGGTAGAAACATGATTAGTGGCATTGTTGGACTGTTTTCAGTCAGATCTTTGGCAGAAGTATGGAATGGTTGTGATGAAGCAGGGTTGGTAGATTGGGAATCTGCTAATGAGGTGGTCTTTTACTGTTCTCTTTCTGCTGTCTCCCCGTGATTATAGGTGATATCTTGGTTTTCTCAGCCATCCTCCAACTTTTTCCAAGAAGTACGGTGGTTGAACTGGCCTTTTTCTCTGCTCATCTCCACTCCTCTATCCTATTCATAGTGGCAGTCTCATTGCCACATGAGGCCACAGGCCCCATGTTTTTGGTTGCCTTACCTGTTGTTGACCTAACACTGTTTTTCAAATCCAGCATGGAGTGTTCTGCATTGTGGGGAGGGGAGAGGGAAGATGAAAGAACATGAGTGGGCAGAGAAATCACACGGTAACTTTGTTCTGTGCCACTTCTTTGCACGGTCATTCAGCATCAGTCCTGGACTGACACTGTGCTAAAGAGTGTGCTGAGCAGTGATAGATGGAGCCACAGAGATATGTAACACAAAAATTTAACAGTTTTTGAATGGAATCTTCTTCTTTGAATGGAAACCAGAAGAGGTAATTCTACTTCGGTGTGGAACGTGAAAGAGACAGGTACATTTAGCTTCTCCTGTCACAGGTGACCTCACAAAGTTTGGCCGTGGGGATGCCTCCTCCCCAGCCCCGGCCACAACCTTGGCCCAGCCCCAACAGAACCAGACGCAGACTCACCACACCACGCAGCAGACATTCCTGAACCCGGCGCTGCCTCCTGGCTACAGTTACACCAGCCTGCCATACTACACAGGGGTTCCGGGCCTCCCTAGCACCTTCCAGTATGGGCCTGCTGTGTTCCCTGTGAGTACCTTGGTCTTTCCTTAGGATGAAAATCCTAGCCCTGAACTCTTGTTAATTGCTTTCGAGGCTCTGTCTTTAATAGTGGATGAGGAAGAACAGCTTCCACTTACAGTTTAGAGGGTGTGGGCCTGAAATTGGTAGTATTAGATAGAAATTACATGTTTTGAGAATGAACTAAAGGGAAAATGTGATACCATAGAGCTTTATTTCTCTCACACTGTCATTCCCACTACCACCGCCCTTTACCCTTCCTCCAAACTACCATTTCTTGACCTCACTGGTAAATTTTAGGAACTTATGTAGGGAACCCATTTCACTAAGCACACAGTGGTCAGAGGACATAGCCATCTGAATGCCTGGTCCCCAGAGTAGGAAGGATGGGGCAAATGGTACTTTCCTGCCATTTTGCTGCAGTTCTGACTTTTTTGCTCTTCAGGTGGCTCCTACCTCTTCCAAGCAGCATGGTGTGAATGTCAGTGTGAATGCATCGGCTACCCCTTTCCAACAGCCGAGTGGATATGGGTCTCATGGATACAACACTGGTAAGCTTGCCTTGACACTGGTTATCAGTGGTTTCTGTGGGATGTTATTAAATGAATTTCAGGGAGGAAGACTTGGTACTTGAGAAAATGGAGTTGGTGAGGGTGTGTTGCTGCTTCATGTATGATTGTTAGTTGACTGACTTGGATATATGTCTGAGCAGCACCAACAAAAATTTTATATCAGAATACTTATCCACTGATGGGAGTACCCACTGACACAGGTTGGCTGTTAGAATATGTTTACTGGCTTAACTTTGGGTGGAAAGAAAGTCCCCTGAGATTTTGCTAAGCTATCTGCAGAGGCAAATGTTAATAATGTGTGGCACTAATAGTACAGAGGGCATCTGTTTATACACTAGAAAGGTTAAGTAGGTTCTTAGCATACTATAGTAGGTTTGACTTAAACTCTTTGTAGTACTACTTTTCTCATATGGCCCTTTTTAATCCCTAAATAGAAGACTTAAGGAGAAAAAGGGGCAGACAACAGAATGAAAGTTGGGCTGAGAGAGTGGGACCTTTATTTGTATGACTGATCTTTTAGCAATATCCGTTTGCACATCTGATGGCAGGGAGGGAAATGTAAGAATTCTCTACCCTCATGCCTGCCACCTACCCTCCACTTTTGGAAGATGGAGTGGAGGATGAAGATGGAAGGACGTATGAAGGAGTATTTGAAGGAAGCAATTCCATCTGCTTTTTTTCAGTGACTTGTAGATGAAGAAGAGAGGTTATTGGGATTACTGGGGTTGGGGTTAAGGGTTGTCCTTCAACTCAGCTCAGTTATAGTTTCATGGTGATTTTAGATGGAGCTGCATCTGTGTTCTTCACCCTTATGTGGGCTCCAGGTGGGTAAATTGCTCAGGGTTTTCAATAATTGGGGAACTGAGCTTAGCACAGAGGGCAGTAGGTTTGGAAACTAATAGTCAGGTGGAGCTTAGCACTGTGTTGTATGACTTCAGTGGGATAAGACTTAAGTTAAAGAAATCCTAAGATGCCCCATTGAGATTTAATAACTAGACTCCTGTGGCTACCCCTCTCTGAGCAAGGTTCACCCTGCTGCTGTGGGGAGGATTATACACTTTCTGAAATGAAGTCAACCCATTTTGAGAAAATTAGACTTAATCTTAGCTGACTAGGTTCAAGAACTTCAAGAGGTAGGTGACTGATAATGTAAGAGAATGGCATACCTGATTCTGGAAATCCTAGCTGCTTATCTCCCTTAAGATTTCAGAAACTTGCTGTAGCAACCCTTTGAGAACCCCCAGTTCCCAACCCCACAGAGGGCTCTTATCACCTCATTCCTCATCAACCTCTAAATTCATTTATTTTTATGTATTTGATTCCTTTTAGGAAGAAAATATCCACCCCCTTACAAGCATTTCTGGACGGCAGAGAGCTAATTTGGCCCAAGGCTGGGGGCTGTGTTTTGTGTGTGTGTATAAATTTGCACTGAAGTCTTGTTTCAGAAACCAGACCACTGAGGAGAGCCTGCTGAGCTGAGGCCATGCCCTGCGTGGCCTGGGGAAATGAGTTGGTGGATACCTTCTGGGCTTTTGAACTTGCCCTCTTCCCAGTTCCCTCTCCCCCATGTGTCTGACCCTGTCTTACCCATTTCGAGTTCAAGCGGTGCAGCACCTCCGAAGCATCAATGCACACACCTGCTGTTGCTTTTGATTTCTGGAAGGCATGTAGTTTCAACTTGTAACAAAAATATTTGTAGTCTTCAATAAACTGTGGTATTTCTTTAGCTAACTCTGGCGTTCTTTCCGTGCATGTCTTTCTGGATACTAGGAGCCAATCTTGTGCTAAGGGTGGAGGGTGGTCTTTTCAATCAAACCCCCAGCATAGCCAAAGAACTTTTTTTAACTTCTTGGTATGGTAATTTTATTAAAGTGGGGAGGGAAAACAGCCTCAGTTTCCAGCCTGTTGATTAGTTGGTAAAGAAAGCTATTTCAGAAAATCCGTGATTGGCCATGCTTATTATAGCTCTTTACTCTTCCATTTAGCTCTTCCCTTGCCTCTGACATAAAGCAGAGGATAAAAGACCAAAAAAGTGTATAGCGTGTCATGTCATGTTGAAAGGCCAAAGAGACGGTGTTCAGAGCTTTTGTTAGGGAAGTATCTTCACAGGTTTAGTCCCCACATCTGGTTCCCCATAGCTAAGTGGCTAATTGGGATCTGATAAAGTCTTTAGTGAATAGCTAGTTGATGAGCCAGCCTGAGGAAACTGCTATCCTGGAACATTGTCCTTAATCCTTCCGTGACTTTTCAGGAATTGTGCATTATTAGCCGTTTTGGACTTGTGGGTGTAGCTAAGGATGTGTGGGAGAGGTTTGGTTAGATGGTTCCTTGACTGGAAATTCTTAATCCCCACTCAGTACAACTAGTACACTGGCAGCCATTTTTCTACAAAGTTTACTTGCACAGTGAGAACCTGGACTTTGGTCAGTTGGAAACTCCAGGTATTCCACTTTCCTTGTATTTGATCACAGCCCTCTGGAGTAATTTTGTCCTGTTAGTATGATGAGCCTTCCCAGGGGGCTGCCATGCTGAGAGAGATTGGTTCTTGTTTTTCCACCCTATGCTCCATGTTGAATCAGTGTGTGATCATCACTCCTTGAAAGCTGGGTATAGGTAGGGGTTTGACAGTTGGAAGGGAAGCAAAAAGAGGAGCTTTATAGTAACTGGTGTAGGGTAGGTAGGGAAACCTATACACATTATTTTCTAAGGTTGGTAGTGTTTACACTGAGGCTATTACAGCTACTACATGTATTCTCTTTCAATCCTGCATTTCAGTCAATATGCAGCCAATATGCAAGTTAATGCCTCTGGATTCCAAGCTGGCTTTTAGTTAGCCCAGCCTCTGGAAAGAATGAGACCAAGTAGGGGGCGCATTGGAACTAAATTCCCCCCTACCACCCAGCTTGAGAATCCAGTTAGCAATTTCTCCCATCCTGTGAGGGATGGTGACTAAGGAGATATCAGGAAGCTGTTTGAGCCTTTGCAGTCAATATCAATCATTGTTTCTTGATCACCCTCCAAAAATTTACATTATCATGTCTGTTCCATTTCACATTACTCTTAAACCTTCCAGACAAACCTCAGCCTAGCCTTTTTCATAAGTGAACTCCCTGTTTTTTGGGGGTTTTTTTTTTGTTGTTTTTTTACGTTAAGCCTAGTAGCATCCATTTGCCAGGTGGACACCTGGGGTTTGAAAAGAGAAGGGTTTGAAATACCTGGTTAATTCCTGTAATTTCCCTTCTTTTGCTTCAGTACCTGTAACATGGAGAGCGGTGATACTTTTGGGAAAATGTTTTCTCATCCTCAGTTTCTGTAGTTCTGTACTTTTTCCTTGTTGGTGTTTGCTCCTCCCTGGACTATCTAGACTTGTGATATGGGAAGGATTTCTAGGTTAAGATGCCACTTCTGTTGGGAAGATTCTAAAGTAGCTCTCCAAGTTGAGCTTAACTTTTGAAGGCTGCCTTTGTCCTCGGCTTTGGGAGTATTTGGGTTCTGGAGTTTGAAAGGGGATTACTGTTGAATTGTGGGTACATGGAAAATTCTTCATTTGTGATTTGTTCATTTTAGTGTTTCTAAAAAACTTCCATCAGTGTGTTCCTAACAGGAGAGAAGAAGAATCCGCCCATATAGGCTGAAATGCAAAGTTCTTTGAAGTTTGATTTTATCTTCATGAAAGCTAATACATCTTTTAAAAGCATACTTGAAATTCCTAACTAAATTTTAGTCACTTCTCAAATCCTTGCACAAAATTTCTCTAGTATGATGCTGGATCAGTTTACCTAATGGCTTTTTCCTTTCTCCTTGACCCACTACCACTTATTCCAGAAGGTAGAGTGTTTCAGCTCAAGGAGTACAAATAAAATGAGAGATTGTATTCCTCTTGTTTCTTTAAAGTTGTAGTAGGGAGTTTTTCAATAGGAACACGCAAGTTTTTGGCGTGGGGATTAGATATTTTGATGGAGAAGCTGAAGTTGACATCTGGTTGAATGACAGCATTCTACCTTTACCTATTTTTGTGTTCTACTGATTAGATAGATAGATAGAGATAGATGGATAGAGTATATATTAGATATGTAATGTATATTATACATAGCTCTTCATAATTATGTATAATACATAAAATAAATAACCAAGACGCTCCAAGACTCTGGAGAAGCTGGACTGAGTGGGCTGAGAGTGAGAATGGAAGTGTGCTTCCATTCTCGTACTTAACCTTATGCTGTGGAGGCATGGATTTTGCATCCAAATGTTTCTCTTCGTGAACAGAAAGAACCAGACTACCCATCTTCAGACGCAAGACTGAGTGGAGTTTGGGTGAATTAATTTGAAATGAACATTAAAAAATTAATATTCTTGTTGGGTTTTGGTGTAGAAGTGTTTTGAAAACTATGTTAGTGATGTTTGGCTCCATCCCTTATCCCCTGCAGCTTCCTCCCCCCTCCAAAAAAAAAATGTCATTTTCTCACACATAACTCACACATAACTCTTGAAAGGACAAGAGAACCCTAGGGAGCCTTTGCGTCATGAGCTCTTATCCCTCAGGACTGACCTAAAGCTGGAAAAACGAGCCAAAATTCCCTTGCAGTGCTAGAGCTAGAAAGGCTGCACACATCATCCCCACCTAGGGATACGGGCCAGGCAGCTAGCTGAGCTAATCCTCCTGTCTGTTTCCTCCTCCCCCAGGTGTATCAGTCACCTCCAGTAACACGGGCGTGCCAGATATCTCGGGTTCTGTGTACTCCAAAACCCAGGTAGGTTCCTGGTTCTGGATAGAAGTGGAAAAAGAGATGGACATAGAGGAGGTGTAGTTGTAATGACAGGAATTCAGTGAACAAGAATAATCCTGAGAGGTCAGGAATCCATCCTACTAGAAAATGAATGGTCTCCAGGCTTCATTGCTTGAGCAATTTAAATTTAACCCTCTGAGGAAAAAATAAGAAATGTTTTAGAAAGGTGAGGTATGGCAAATTGTTGCCTTGTGTCATAACTTTATGCAGCTGTCCTGGCCCTTCCCCATTCTCAGCGTTTTCATAACTTTCCAAGAAAGTGAGTATAGAACCAGGAGAAACTAGTTCATTCCATTCTTTTTTAACTATACCTATAACAAAGACTAGGAAAGGAAACCAGTAACTGAAGTGAGGCATTTGCATTATCTACAGATTTTGTGTTGTGTTGCTTCTCTCTCTCACCACCATTAGATATTAAAAGTTATGATGTAAGGTATTAGTAGTTCTGGTGGAGGCTTCAACACTCAAGGCTTCAACACTCAAAATACCTCAGTGTGTGTGCATTTCTTTTGAAATATCTGAAGAGTTCTAATTTCTACCCAGCAACAGGGGTGGGAGAGTCGAGTAGTCAGCAGATTTCACTTTGTACATGTATGATAAGTAGATTTTACAAAGTGCTTTCTCATGCATCCTCTCACTTGGTGCTTACAACTGAGAGATCAGTAGCATTCCTCTTGTGTATGAGAAAACAGGCTGAGAGATTGAACAGTTTTCCCATGATCACACAGCAGTTAAAAGACAGAGCTGAGACTAAGACCTGAACATCTGACTTCAGTTGCAGTGTTCTGCAACACTGTGCCTTTTCGTGGGTGGGGAGCTTGGGCTCAGAAATTCCAGTGATTAGTTTGCTGATGTCTTTTACTCTTTCTCCTCCATCCTACTGCTTAGCAGTCCTTTGAGAAACAAGGTTTTCATTCCGGTACTCCTGCTGCCTCCTTCAACTTGCCTTCAGCCCTAGGAAGTGGGGGGCCCATCAATCCGGCCACAGCTGCTGCCTACCCACCTGCCCCCTTTATGCACATTCTGACCCCTCATCAGCAGCCGCACTCCCAGATCCTTCACCATCACCTGCAGCAGGATGGCCAGGTAATAGCCTTCCCCTTCTCTTCTTTCCCTTCCTTTTGCTTTCTATACCTTAAAACTGCCTCCCCTTTCATTTTCTTATCCTTCCTCACTACCACCTTCACCCAGTCTTCCCCAGCGCCAGTCATGGGCACACAGCACATACACCAGCGCACATAACACAAGTGGATGGCAAAGGAGATGTCAGAAAAGGGGCCAGATTGAAACCTTTTTCACCCAATTCCTTTGATGCCTTTCTCCTCCACCTCCTATAGCACAGTTGTCCTTAATCCCACCAGACCTGGGTCACACCACCCCTCTTGCCTCTCCCAGCCTCCCCCCCTTCCCTGACATTATAGCGTTCCCTTCTAATGGTGGAATTCTATTGTCAAAGTTTGTCCCTTTATTTTCCATATATCCTGGTTCTGCCTCAGCTACCATATTTGCAGATGATTCTCTGTTGCCAGCGCCAGCAGGAGGAGCAGGTAATGAAACTGAATAATGTTATGCTTGAACCCACTCCCTTTCAGTTCCCATTTCTCCATCACAGCCTCAGGGAAATTGAAGAGAAAATACTGCACAGTCACAATCGGGATACACAAACACAAATGCCTTACTGAGCTCTCTGGCCTCCCATTCCTCTCTTATCCTCCCCTCCTCAATACCCTCTTTTTCTTTCTACCTTTCTCCAACTCTGGAAAACATTTGGTTACTGGAATGGAAAGGATTTTTGCAGCAGTGTCTGGGGCCTCAGTCTGTCTCTCCTACTTTGCCTGAAAATAGACAAGTCTCTGAAGGCTCCCAGATGTGATGTGTGGTAGATAGAGGTGGGGATCCAAGTGACCTCTCCAAATCATAGGTGGCCAGGGAACCTAGAGTAAAGACTTGGTCTCTAAGGCAGCTTTCCAGTTGTGGCATTCACAGGGGGCAATGAAGGTGAAGTCACCTTGTGATCAGTCCTCTCCCAGAAGCCGTGATTCTTCAGCATGGCCTTTTCTCAGAGCAGGGACGGGGGTGGAGGTGGGAGTGGGGGGAAGAGGGTGGAATTGAAAATGAGTAGAGCTGATTCACTATCTTGTCTTTAAAGGTATGTTACCCTCTTCCTCCTTCCCCTATTTAAAAGTTGAAAGTGCTTGCTTAATTGTCAGAGGGGCTCTATCTAGCCCTATATAAGCCAAATTTTCAGTGGTTGAGTAGTAAGCTTCAGAGTAGTTTCCAAGCAAGGGGAATTTGGAGAGCAGGACAATTTCCACATCTCCACCTGAAGATGTCACAAATTTGTCCCACTAACTAGACACCTTTTTCCTCCCCATCATCCTCCCATTCCCCTGCAGACGGGCAGCGGGCAACGTAGCCAGACCAGCTCCATCCCGCAGAAGCCCCAGACCAACAAGTCTGCGTACAACAGCTACAGTTGGGGGGCCAACTGAGACCCTGGCCCTCTTCTCCTGGTCCCATCTTCTGAGAGGGCTTCTCAGCCTGGCAACTATGGAAACAGCATCAAAGAGAGAAAGGAATGTGGGGGGGGGTTCCGCTGCCCCCCACCCCCAGCGGCCCACCCTATGCCTCAGCTTCATGTCTGTCCCATTCCCATACCATCCCCACTCTGTTGTATGTATTATAGGATTTGTATTTTCTCTTTTTTTTTTTCTTCCTTTCCTCTCCTCCTCCCTCCTTGCATACAAGATTATGAAACTGCTGTGGGCCCTGCCCTTTCTTCTCCTGTTCACCCTGGTGGTGTATGGGGAGGTGGGAGGGGGGACCCCTAAATATATATCAGCCCAACAGCCCTAAGTCTCCTCCTTTATTATTAGGAAACAAAACAACAACAAAAAATGGCGTCATGAATATGAACAGCATTGTCAGATGAATTAGTTGAAGTGTTTTTTTTTTTTTTTTGTACTGTGTCCTCAAATTTAATGGATTAATGTGTCTTGTATATATAAAAAGAAAACCTCTACATTCAGCCTCTGCCCATTCTTGCTCCGTCTAGGATATCCTCAATCTCGTCGGTGACCAGCTTGGTGAATAAGTATTACTGTACCAACTGGGCCTCCCCTAGCAGGCCCCGAAGGCAGTGGAATAAAATGAAATCTTCGCCCTATAAGAACTCCTGACCTTAATGTGGTAGTAGCTTGCCCTTGAGCGGATTCCCTTCCCTAAGAATTTCACAGCCTGGTGTTTGGAAAGAACCATCACAGATCGTCATTTCCTCCAGAAACTGCCACATCTGCAGCCGATATCCGGCAGGGAAGGGAGTGGGATAGTGGATGGGTATTGATAGTGGAAAGGGAGAAAACTTAAGGAACTGAAAGAAATGGCTTTGTAGACTCCAGATGTAGTTTAGATGTAAATGAACTGGGAAAAGTGACTACAATGTGCATTGTGGATTGGTAAAATCTAAGCTTAGGGCCCGTTTCTCCCAGGAGTAGGCTATAGTATTTGCATAGTGAATGCTTTCAATCCACATAGCTAGATCCAATCCCTTGAATAGGTATCTAAATCAAGGCGGGGTGTGGGAAGTCGGAGGGGATACTGGAAATACAAGCTTTAAGAGTCAATGATGAGAAAGCCGCAGTACTTTGTAGCCCCAAAGTTTTTCTTCCTCCCTAAGACGTCATTAGATATCCCTTGCTGTCTTATAAAGCCTCCCGGTTACGTAAGAAGAATTAAAGGAATTTGACCAACTCCTTGGTAGCTGGAGAGAGGGAGTTAAAAAGTCCGTGCGTCCTGTGTCTTTACTCAGTTCTGGGGTGTTCACTATTAGATGTGGCTTGATGTTTGAGTATTTGATACTAATCCTAGAGGGTCCATCCCTCTCACAGAAGCCAACTTGGGTCAATTGAAGCTAACGAGGGGGTTTCAACTGCAAGCAAGACCCGTACGAGAGTGCCGTGGGCAGGCGATGAGGGAGCGCCGGGACACTTCGTAAATGTGGGTGGGCTGCCCTCTGGCGGCCTTGTCCGCTACTATCCAGTCAAGCCCTCGAAACGTTTTTGGACCGGGCTGGTTGGCGGGAAGGAAGAAGATGGTCGCTGGAAAATGGTAATTCGGTACGCCCAAACCCCTCACAGCAAACAGGTGTAAAGAGCTTTTCAAAATCGGGAGGACCGTCTGGCCCGCCCCCTCGACGTCCTGTTTACGGCCGTTTTGCGACAGTGTCGAGACCGCAGGCTTGCTTTCCGGCAGCGAGGTCTGACGCAGGCTCAGCCCGACAGCGTAGCGCAGGCTGCCCCCAGCTGTGAATGAGCCTCGGGTGGGGGTCAGAGGTTCCAGTCCCATACGGGTATGAGCCTCTTTGACCTTTTCCGGGGCTTTTTCGGCTTTTCTGGACCTCGGAGGTGAGAATGGGTCCGGGTTGGGCCAGCGTGGGATCTTCTGAGGAGACCTTAACCCCTAACATCCTATATATTCTGGAAAAACACCCTATTCCCCGCTCCAACTCCCGTGGAGAGGACAGAAGTCACTATATTGAACATTCACCCCGCCACAGTAACCAGGGTGGTCGTTAAGAGGAGAAACAGCAGTTTAAGCCTTTCTCCAATCTTGGGTGATGCAACAGGGGCCTGGGTGGGGAAGACAATGGGGCTCGGGAGAAGAGGACAATGTGCGAGCTAGCAAGATCTTGGGAGAGAGGGGAGGGACCCGGAGACACAAGAAAAGCCGCGGGTGGTTGAGGGGAGCCTTGAGGTGAGACTGATAAAATCTGAAAACAGCGAAAACCCCCAAAGAACTGTGAGTTGTTTTGATTTGATGACCAGTCTCGTAATCCTCACGTCAGCTTCCCAGACCCCTTACTCTTGTCTCATTTTAGTCTCCCTGAGTTGATTTTATGGTTTAAATGTGCTGAAATTTTGGTGGCCAATCTGCCTCCACCTCTAGACACAGAGATCCCTTTTTTGGAGGGATGACTCGGGATGAAGATGAGGATGATGAGGAAGAGGAAGAAGGAGCTACCTGGGGCCCTGGAAGCCCAAGGTTTGAGGGTTCTCAGCCCCCCGAGGAATTTGACTTCAGCTTCAGCTTCGGCCCAGGAGGAGGGATGCGTTTCCATGATAACTTCGGCTTTGATGACCTAGTCCGGGATTTCAGTAACATCTTCAGCGAGATGGGGGCCTGGACTTTGCCTTCCCGCCCTTCTGGTGTGTGACTACCCTTGACAGAGAATTTATAATTTCTAGTGGGTTGGTAGATGAAATAAGGAACCTGCAGAGAGTTGTTGGGGAAGTGGGGAATGTGAGAAATTGATCCACCTGCAGAATTCACTTGTCACTTTTCTGCACAACTTCCAGATTCTGAAACAGAGACAGCTTATGAGAGACAGCAGGAGGGACAGACACTTCGCGACTCAATGCTTAAATATCCAGATAGTCACCAGCCCAGGATCTTTAGGGGGGTCTTGGAGAGTGATTCAAGAACTGAATCCCCAAAACCAGCACCAAACTGGGGCTCCCAGAGACCTTTTCAAAGGGTGAGTGCTTGCCTCATTTGGGCCCAAAGTGTGAGCCTGTGGGAGGCAACTATACAGTGCACTGACTGGAATCCTTGTTAGACTGGAACAGACTTGTGTTAGAAGCCTAGGATCTCCATTTGTTTATGTTTTCTGTATTAACTTGTATGTTCTGTAGGGTGAAACGGAAGTTCTGTTATTTAAAAAAAGGAAAAAGATCATTGATTGATTGATCGATATGCTTCTTAGATAAAGAAGAATTATTTGGGACAATAAAAAATTACCAGTTCAGGAAGGCTTTTGGTAGAAACCAGGAAGGAGGGGGAGGACGCTATTTTGAATGGGATTTCTCTCTTGGGAAAAGGAAGTTATAGAACGTAGCAATAGTTTGGGTTCTGTGACCCCTTAAGTTTCAGATTGAAAGGTATCACTTCACCTACTGTGGCTTCTTCTGCAGTTGGATGATATATGGCCCATGAACCCCCATTCTAGACCCAGAGAGGACAATGGTGAGTCTGAAGGGAGAGAACATTTAACAGCTGTTTTCCTCAAGTTCCCTCTGTTCTTCCCTCCCTGGTGGAGTTTCTTCTTGTCGCACCTTGTCCCTTTTCTTTTTTCCTCTCTCTGCCTTTCCAGATCTTGATACCCAGGTTTCCCAGGAGGGCCTTGGCCCAGTTCTGCAGCCCCAACCCAAATCGTATTTCAAGAGTGTCTCTGTGACAAAGATCACTAAGCCAGATGGGGTGAGTTGGGAGAAAGGGGTAAAGGGAACTGTGGCCAGAGGATGCTCTGGAAAAAGGGATCTAGGAAAGAAACCAGTGAATTTGCCTTTAGTGATGCTAGGCATATAATGGTGTCCACTGTCTTTGTAGACAGTGGAGGAGCGCCGGACTGTAGTGGACAGTGCAGGCAGGACACAGACCACAGTGACCCGTCAAGATGCGGATGGCAATCCTAGAAATGGTAAGTAAAGAGTATAAATTAAAGGGGTCCATCTCTTAACTCTTTGGGGAAGAGAAACCCTTACTTTTTATTCTTTAATATAATACCTCTTTTTTCTCTTTGCCCAATCATTTTTATTTAACCTGACTATGTATATCATTTTTCTTAGATCCAGAATCACCAACACCTCCAACCATGGACGATGCTTTTTCCATCCTGGACTTATTCCTAGGGCGTTGGTTCCGGTCCCAGTAGCCTTGTTAACCCTCAGAGGCCTTCAGGTTTTTTCCACCCCCATCCCTTGCTCTCCATCAGTAATCTTACCCTCTCCTACCACCTCAAGACCTTGGGTGTGTGGAAGAGCGAATGGGGGAGTATGTCAGTATGTCACTCGCCTGAACTGACCAATAAAACCTCTATTTATGATAGTTCCTCGGTCTTGGTTTTATCAAGACTGTCCTATTTTCTGAAACCATCCAGGACTTCCTAGTCTGTGCTCACAGTCTTCTCATTTCTTAGTTTATGCTCCACTTTGAAAGCCTGATTTGATAAGTAGGCGTCATGTGCTAGTAGAAAATGATTTTCTACTGGCAATAACTAGAGATAATTCCAGGGAAAACTTTAGAAGAGGATGCATCAGATTCTTCCCCCTTGCCCCCCAAGAAAAGTATAAATGTAAGTGTAGAGGATTGCTGCTTCTCTAGGAGTAGAAGCACGGTGTTGGATAGTTCATGAAATAATTTGAAGTACATGAGCAAATATTTTTTCCTTTACTATGTTTTTGTATATGGTAGAGAAAATATAACACAAACTTTTTTTTAAAGATTTATTTATTTATGCATACATGAACTGGGATACAGGCCAGAGGTTGCCCTCTGAGTGGGGCAGATAAGACCAGCTGATCCCTTGGTCATGTGCCCATTGCCACACCCCCTTTACTGTAATGTAGTCTTCTTAGTCTAGAGTAATGTAATATAGATTCCATCTCCATGGATCTAGTACTCTGTAAATCACTGGAGAGTAAGACTAGCTGAGACCCTAAGGGCAGGAAAGGCAATCCTATACTCAGGATAGGTGTCAATCTCAGTCAAAGGTGATAAAATCTAGTGTCCCCAATCACACCTAAATGGCGCTCATTCTCCTCAAGTGATAGCAACATAGCAGGGGCTTAGTGTTTGTTGGGCATTAGCAGCAGCAGAAGATTGTTCAGCTGTGGTGTGGAGAAGCACATGCTGTTGACCCATGCATAGCCTCTATCACTATTGTCATTTACTCCATTCAGCGTATCCATTGTTCAGAACAAGGTTGGCTGATGACAGACTGGCTGAATCATTCTGTCTACTTGGTTGGTCACTGCCTCCTCTGTGATGGATGCTTTGTGGTGGGTTTTAGCATCATATTTATACTAACTACTACTATTGGGAGATTACACCCATAGGTCCATCCACATCACATCCTCAGACTTTCTTGATCCTATCTTTTTCCACTCCTACTTTCAAATCTCTGACTAATCAACCAAGCCACCCCTGACACACCTTCTCTCTCCACACAAAGTATATGACCAAATGTACTGTCCAAATCTCTGTCCACTGAGAAGACTTCCCTTCACTTTGTCTGTTGCAACAGCAATTTTTGGCTTTCAGCTATACACCATTCCAATTAATCTATGAACAAAGATTAGGCTTTTTCCATCGCTGATTCACCACCAAAGTATTCTCTGCCATAGAATGAATGTGTGTGCCCCTCAAAATTCATAAATTGAAACCTAGTCCCCAGTATCATGGTATTTGGAGTGGGACTTTTGAGTCCCATTCAGATGAATTCCCTTATAAAAGTGGTCCCAGAAAGCTCCCTTGCCTCTTCTGTCATATGAAGACACAGTGAGGCAACTGTCTTTGAACCATGAAGTAGGCCCTTACCAGACACTGAATCTGCCAGCACCTTGAACTTGGACTTCCCAGCTTACAAAGCTGTGAGAACCAAATTCTAGTTGTTTATAAACCACCCAGTCTATGGTATTTTGTCATAGCAGCTTGAATGGACTAAGAGAATCCCCATGAGGGTCATAGATGTCAACTGAAGGAGAGATGCCAGTGCATGGTAAATATTACGGAAGTCTGGGTCATTTGCTTTCAGCTTACTTATAACTCTGACCCTTCTCTTACCTGATCCTAAAGATGCCACTTCCATTTTACAATGCAGCTCCCTGTTCTTGGACACACCCTTCCTAATGGCAGTTCTGGGCACTTGGTCACTTGATGTCCTATAGTCAGATGCATGATCTCTATGGAGCCCATAAGAACCCAAAAGGTGCTTTTCAAATGGTATGTATTCCTCTACTACAGATGGCATGGCTTTACTCCAGAGCCCTAGGAGTCTACCTTATTATCCTCCTATTAGAATTTGCCAGATCAGCATCTTTTTCTATCAGTGATACTCTAGGCTCATAGAGTCTGCTAGGTTATATGGCCGCAAAGGCTTTTTTTGCTTTTGGTCTCACTCAGAGTTGACAGCCTTTATGTCAGCTGATCAGAGTTGTAGTCTGAAGTGTGAAATCTAAGAAGAGTGGTATTACACTCCTTTGTTAGTAGTGGAAGAAGTAAGATGCAATTGATAATTGATCCTTTACTTAGAGAAGTTTTCCTAGCGTGTCCCAGATGTGTCCCAGACCACTTGATTGCTAAAAGCTTCACCAATGTGGCAGTTTCTTAACTCTCTGAAGCACTTTTTCTCTGCTCTGAAAGCTTGTAGCTTTCCAGGGGCCACTTGCAGCTTTCCAGGGGCCACTTGCCTCTTCTTGCTTCTCTGATCATGATGTGACCAATATAGTGTTCTTCAGAATGTCCAGATAATCAAGGTCCCTTCAGATTATATTATGAAATAGGGCCAGAAAGGTAACACAGTCCTGGAGCAAGGCCACCAGAGTTTATTGTTATTCTTTTTATTTGTTTATTTATTTTTAATTTATACAAGAACTGGGGTATAGGCCAGAGGCGTGGGAGAATGAGAAGGTTCACCAGAGACACAGTGGGGACCAGAACAGTCAGATAGACTGAAAATAATACAGGCAAGGCAGGAGAGGTCTGCTGCATCATGTGGGTGTCTCCCTGGCCTGCTAGGAATCGACCCTATGCTGCAGAGGCTGTGGTCAGCTTCACAGTGCTAGACTCAACCCATTGCACCACCAGGGAGGGCCCTATATTGTTATTCTTCCCAGGTGGATGCTTACTGCTTCTGATCCTCCTTTCTGGTCTGACTGGGATAGAAAATAACATAATTACCAAATGAGTGGTTACATACCACCATCCAGAGGTTATATTAAATTGCTCTACAAATTTATCATATAAAACACAGAAACTGCAATTGGGATTATTATTTGGTTAAGAGCATGATAGACAACTGTCAGTTGCCATAACGTCTCTAGTTTTTGTAGGAGCCAAACTGGTGGTATGGCAGGGGTCACCTCTCCAGTTTTTCTTTAAATCTTTGAGGATGGTGCTAACTGCTTCCATTTTCCCTTGGATATGGTACTGTTTTTTTGTTTTTCGTTTTAAACATTTATTTATTTGTTTATTTATTTATTTATTTATTTATTTATTTATTTTTATTTATTTATTTATTTATACAAGCACTGGGTACAGTCAGAAGCACGGGAGGATGGGAGAATTCACCAGAGCCAGATCAGGGAGCAGAACAGGCAGAAGGACCAAAGTACACTGCTGAGGGGAGCAGTGGGTGGCAGGAGAGGTCTGCGCACCATGTGGGACCCTCGCTCGGCAGCCGGGGATAGAACCGGCGCTGCGGAGGCTGCGGGCAGCTTTGCAAGGCAGCGCTCAACCACTGCGCCACCAGGGAGGCCCGGATATGGTACTGTTTTTTATTTACTGTATTGGTGTGGGCCAGTTTCAGGCTTCTGGTTGGCTTTCATGACTTACTCCATAGATCACGACACCAATGTGAATATTCTACAACTTCAAAGATGCCCATTTAAATTATATGTTGGGGGGCCTCCCCGGTGGCGCAGCAGTTGAGCACTGGGTTGCGAAGCTGCCCGCAGCCTCTGCAGCACCAGTTTGATCCCCAGCTGCTCCCTGGCCATAGGAGGAGGGTCCCACATGGCGTGCAGACCTCTCCTGCCGCCCGCTACTCCCCTCAGCAGTGTACTTCGGTTCTTCTGCCTGCTCTGCTCTCTGCTCTGACTCTGGTGAATTCTCTCACCCTCCCGCGATTCTGACTGTGCCCAGTGCTTGTATAAATAAATAAATGTTTAAAAAAAGATGAATAAATTATATGTTGGGGTATTGCTGTAGTCACCAATGGGAGAATCCAGTCTCAGTGAATACATTATGAACCAGACCTAGGCCAGTATTCCAATTATTAACTTGATCTCATCTCTTCCTACTCTAAGCAGAAGCCATTGGTTTGTCAGCTATCAATGTTAATTCAGATTCTTTGTCCAAAAAGTCCTCAAAAGATGTTTTTCATTAACAGTCATAATGTGAATGACCACTTTTGACAATTTCAGTTTTCTTAGCATAGGCCATCATTCACTCCAAATGACCTAGAGCCAGTCTAGAAGTGTATGCAACCCATATCCCAGGAAGCTTGCCCGAACGTTAAATCTTGTATCACAGGAGAGTGCTCCTATATCAATAAATGCATCCATATCTAACCTCATGTTCCATTTCCCTTTATCTGGCACTCTCAGAATCTAGTTCCATGTATAATGCCACCACATTCTGCATGTGCATTAGCCAGAGCCCAGAGCTCCTTCAGTGTGTATCTCTGTCTTTTCTTAGCAGGCCAGATACCCTCTTTGGGACTGCTAGAATTTGTTTCTTGTTATCAGTCCTGTTTCCAGGAAAGTAATAAGAGAATAGATCCTTTAGGGGTTTAGTAGTAGGATGGTCACAGAGCAGGTTTCTATGATTCTAGCCGACCTGGGACCTAGGTAAAGGAGGAGTCCTGGAGCCCTTGGTGGCTTTCTCAGGCTTTTATTGAGCTTTACCTGTAGTGCAGCAACCAGGTACATGGCAGGCAGGTTGGAGGGGGGGGCACCAGGAGGCCATCCAGGCCCCATGCAGGTCTTCACTTTTGGCTTCTCTGGGGATTTCTCTTCCCTTCTCTCTCCTGCCACTGCTTCTCTTGGTGACTATCTCAATACTCCTTCCATGGCCCACAGAAGTAAACAAGTCAGCTTGCAACAATGTAACAACTACAGGTGCCCCATCAGGCAGGGCCATCCTATTGGTGGGAGGGCAGAAAAGCTTGAACACCATTTACCTTACAGGGGTAAGTTCAGTCTTGTAAGGCACCTGCCTCCTTTGAAATCTTTGCAGAGTCTTTATGCAAGCCAGGCCTGGGCCAATTCTGCAGGCTGAGAGGGTCTAGAGAAATCTGGGGTTTCAAGATTCTCAGTGGGATCTATCCAGATACCCCTATCCCAAATGTGAGGATCCCACCCTATTTTCCCTTTGAACTTTCACCTTTGTATAGGAGACCTACTGGGACTGAGAACTCAGGCTTCTCTAAAGCTCTGTTACTCACTGTAGGGTAAATGGTTTTCAGGCTTTTCTGCCTCCCTCCATTAGGATGGGCCTGCCTGATGGGACACCTATAGTTGTTACATTGTTGCAAACTATTGTTTACCTCTGTGGGTCATGGGAGGAGTATTGAGGTAGTCACCAAGAGAAGCAGAAGAGGCAGGAGAGAGAAGGGGAGAAAGAAACCCACAAGTGA